ATAAAATTATAAAATTATAAAATTATAAAATTATAAAATTATAAAATTATAAAATTATAAAATTATAAAATTATAAAATTATAAAATTATAAAATTATGATATGGTAATATTTCGACTTGTGACAGCTTTCGGTCTGATTAATTTCTTTAGGAGGTAGATGAAATTATTCGCTTTGTCTTGATAAATATTTTAATCCAACCGACTAGTTGATTATTCCGCATTAAAGCAGACAATGTACTTTAATGTTGGTGCTGTCACGGGTTAAATGAAGTTTAATGCTCGCAATATCTCAGTTATTTATTTGGCGAGTGTATTTACTGATCGTATGTACCAACTTTAATTTCCATTTAAATTCTCGAGTCTCGTAGTTATGGAATCATTAATTTATAACTGAAGATCATAAAACAATATTTCCTGTCTATGATTAAAAGAAATCAATGAGTTGTAAAAAATAATTACATATTAAATTAAATTCTGTATTAAATTCAAATTTCCATTAAAACACATGTAATGGAAAATTCAGATGACTATGACTGACGATTCCCAAAAATCGAAACAATTTTCCGGGTTTACACCGTTTTCCGTATGAACTGAATGAAGTCGATTTTTTATTCGTCAAGGCCAGTCGACGATTATACTTTAATACTCGTACCACAACGGCACGAGTACAGTTAATATTCGACCTCCACACGGGTAAATGAAGAGGTGGGAGGGTTGGAGGGTCTGGGAGTAGGAGAAGTTGAAGTTTAACAACGAACGGGCCAGACACGACACACAAACGCCAAATCGTTCAAGTACAGGAGAAGGTACACGAAAAACGGTCGATACTTTCATCGCGTTTCACCTCTGGATTCGACTGAAAAGGGCCCACCACCCACCCACCCCCCGCGACCTTAGCCTCCTTTATCTTCATTTTTTTGCCACTGGGTTTTTGGCCATCTGGTCCGTCGGGACCGCACGCGCATTTTACGATTGATCGTTTTTCGATAGTCGCGGTGTACACAGCCAGAAATTCAATTCCCCACCCAGGGTGACCTGGACTCCTGGAGAAATGAGGAAATTGGGGATTTCTAGGGGTACTCCGGCCTAGGGCCACACGATCAAACGGAAAATGAAAAAAAAAATCGGTTCAATTCCGCCGTTTGGGGAATTAAATATCATCATTTCTCAATAAATACATTAATTAATAAATAATGGAATTAAACCTTCGCACATTGCAATTCCACCCCCTCCCTTGAGGAGCTGGCATCGTTAATGAACTGAATATATTAATTTGGACAAGTATGCACGCAATTATAATACCGTGCGACCGAATTTTATTAAATACACAAATGAGATACATGGGGTCTCGTTGTTATGAAAATATTCCACTAATTTTGGGATGAATAAATACCCATGCATCAGCGGTGTACATTCACTCTGCGGATAAACCCCGTTGAAAGGATCCTAATGGTCCAGCAGAATCCGGTCGATCGATCCAATCCCTAAAACCCACATCTTCCAGTCACATCTGTGTTGGTCACACCGAATTTCGCTAACGACCTCACATTCAATCCCACCTAATTTCAATCTCAAGCATTAAAATTTTCTTGATACGTAAGTATTCCAATCGGCTGCCAATTAATTACGTTTGTCACTGAATTTCATACCGCTATTTGTAACGGAAATATTTACCAACGAAATATTCAGTTAATTTTTTTATCGCATTCTGGAATTCTCGATTCAATTCCATTGAATTTGAATCCAATTCCAATGAATTTTGTTTGCCTTAAAAATTTTCGGGAGTTTTCAATTGAAATTTAATTAAAATTGTAATTGTTTATTTAATTAGCGTGAATATTTTGCAATAGTTAGAGCTTTTGACAGCAGTTATGGCATCTTTGGTGATAGAATTTAGAGGCTTCAGTGGATATTTCAAGTGATTTTTTTAAGTCGTGAGAGATTGCGGGTGATTTCATAATTTTTTAATGGGTACACAGGTAAAGTGGATGAAAAGGCGACGCAATTACACGCGATAGCTTCGTTGAAGGTGTTGTTGGATGCAACGAGGCCTCAGAATGGTGCTGCAACGTCAACATCGGCGCATTACTCAGGGAGTGCCTCCAAGGAAACAGCTTTACAATTACAACAGGGGTCTCAAGGTACCACCACCACAACAACCACCACCACCACAGCTGGGACCACTGCCGGAATTCAAGAACTTCCAAATGGCGGAATCGCCTCAGGACTCGATGCCGGACTTGAATCGGTTCGTACTACTTCCTACTAATCCATTCCATTCTATTTTCATCCATAACTTATTCCCAGATTTTTCCAAAATTTTCTCGTTTCGATAAATATCAGACAATAAATAAAAAGACAAATTTAAAAAAAAAAAAATTTTGAAAAAAAATCCAATATCGAATGTTTTCCAAACTGAAATGATTAAATTAGAGGAAAAAATAAAAACACAGGAAAATGAAAAATTTTCACCGAAAATACTGTGCGATTAAAAATTAATTTGAAGTGAACTGATTTATTTTCCTGGATAAAATGAATTTGCATTGAATCGATCTCCCTGGAGACCTCAAAAGATAATGACATAATCGAAGAGTCTCTCGAAACCAACTGACGAATTAAATTTATCGATTTGTTGAAACAATCGAAGGGTGAAGAGGACGATCCACCAGAGGCACTGGACATGGCTTGGCCTAACACCGGAAAAAAACGTCTCACGTACATTCTAGTTGCGCCAATACTATTCCCCCTGTGGCTCACTCTGCCAGACACACGAACCCCGAGAGGTAACAATTAATATTATTGACAGGCAAATTATCCATTAATAGAATAATCACCCATTATTGACTGCTTACCCTCCATTTTCCACTATTACCCAATTTGCATCAGCCCAGTCGACACATTAATCCCCTGCAATTAACATTAACTATCACCACATCAAACCTCCAACTATACAATTATTGTTATTAATTAATAATCATATAAACAAGTATTTTTCAGTAGATGAGTGAATTAGTGACTGGGAATTATGATTACTGCATCGAGGTTTGGGGAATATTTATGTATTGCTATATTTTTTTGGATAATTTACAGGTAAAAAATTCTTCGCTGTAACATTCATCGGTTCCATCTTCTGGATAGCCGCGTATTCGTACCTGATGGTCTGGTGGGCAAATGTCGCTGGTGATACGATACAAATACCACCCGAAGTAATGGGTCTCACATTCCTCGCCGCTGGGACTAGTATTCCCGATTTAATAACCAGTGTTATTGTTGCAAGAAAGGGTTTTGGTGATATGGCAGTGTCGAGCTCCGTCGGCAGCAATATATTCGACGTTACTGTTGGGTGAGTAAATAATTTTCAGTAATGATTTATCGCTCAAGGAGCTGAAAAGTAGCCCACGAATAATTTATTGAAATCGAATTAATGGGTTTAGTTTTCGGGGGATAGATTCAATTCAGAAACTGAATTTACCCGGAGCTACAGAGAATTTATCCAGAATCATTAGAATTCCGATAAAAATTCAAGTACCGATTTAAAATCGAGGGGCGAGTCGAGATATTTTCCGGATATTCGCGAATTGAGGGTAATTTTAATAATAAATAAATGGGGTGTAGAATTGAAGAAAAAAATTGCCCTTAGGCTTCCGGTGCCGTGGCTGCTGTACGGTTTGATCTACGGCAAACCCGTCGAGGTGAACTCAGTGGGAATGGTGTGCAGCATCGCCATCCTCTTCTGCATGCTGCTCTTCGTTATTATGAGTATCGCATTCTTCAAGTGGCGAATGAACAGAGGCCTCGGATTCACCATGTTCCTTCTCTACTTCGTATTCGTCGCCGTATCGCTCATGTTCGAGTACGAAATACTCGTATGTCCTGTTTAGAAAACTATTAAAGATACCGAGGAACCCCCAGGAGCATTAAAATTCCCCGAAGGCCCCCCAAAATAAATTCAACAAAAAGTCGTTCTACTGAAAATCATGTAAATATGTATAAAACATCTCAAGAGAAAATCACTCGTGCTTTTTATCTAGTCGAGATACTGTCGATCTGTCGGAGAACGTCGGCCACTCGTTGAAATATATATATAAACATTGCTATATAAACGAGCATTATTCTATTTACTCGTTATCTGCTCTCGGTAAAAATTACGCCCTCGCTGAATTTGTTTCATCAGACGGATACATTGAGATCCTAAATGGGTCAGTGAGTTGTCCACTACTTTGTCATGGCTAAAGAATAATACATGAAACAAATAATAAAAAAAACAGTACGCATAAATGAAACAATAACAATTCTGTGTCACCTCGCGATGAGGGAAAAAAAACTTCAGAATGCGGTGGAGCACTCGAGTGTCATGGAAGTCGATATGTCACGTTTTACGTTTTTACGATTGTAAAACATGATTATAGAATATTATAGGTGATAAGGTAAAACATTTTTCGCAATTTTGTATAACAAAAATAATACTTACAAAAAAAAACACATGTGTAATCCAGTGAATTGGGGAAAATTGTTGTGTAGTTGATATTTGGGGGATGCGTTTAGGATTAGACTGGAGAGATTTTAAACGGGACGAATCGAATTCTGATCTCGAGTGTTCGACTATTTTTTTTCAATGAAAATGCGGTAATTTGTTGTTAATGTTGGCATTGGATATTGATTGAGACACTGGGGGGCCTAATTGTGGCCTACAGTATCCAAAAATTGAAATATATTATATCATAGTTAACACCCCCTCATATAGTTTATTATGAAAACTAGAGATTGTTCACGATTTTGAAATATTATGATGTTGCATTGTACTCAACAGTCATTCCATATTTTGACCTGGCGTTCTCAGATCGATTGTTAGGGTATAGATTGGAGGTATCCAATTGTTTTTTTACGGATGAAAAAACAAGTCATGAATTTATAACGACCCGAAGGAGATGAATAAATTCACCTTCGTACTATGTGTTGACCCCGGAATAGAATGATAAATCAGTTTTTCCGTGAAACAGATTCATCATTCTAACAGCTAAAAATACATAAATCAATGAACAACAGAATCACATGAAAAACTTTCACTCAAAAGAAACTTTCTCGATGATAGATACCATGAAATTCACTGACTAAAATTGGAATATCAGTGAAATTTACCTCGACGTTGGAATAAAAATGGCAATTTCCCCAATAAAATGGTAATAATCACTGGTAATTTCAGGGATAAATGGAGATGTGAGAAAAATTCCCTAGGCATTTTTTTTAACATCAAGAAACTGCTCTCGGTGTTATTACGAGTGACTAGAGACTGGCGTTCCTCGGTGTCGTAGTTACCTAGGTGTAAAAAATCTATATATATACATAATTTATGGATTAATATGTTGAAGAATATTAGTAAATTATGCACAATACGATCTTCCCGAAGTATATCCGCGAGAGACGTTATGAGAGTGGCAACGCCCTGATAAAGAAAACATGATGAAAAAATGATAAAAAATATGAATAAATAAAACAAGATATCATAGAGCTTAGACACTAGGGGGGAAATGAAAAATTTTCAAATTGAGGGGTTGGGAGAAGAGTGAGATAAGCGATGAATAATTAATGAATATATATCGTGGGATATATATTTATTTATACATCGATAAATATATAAAAACAGCCGACGTGACTGCTGCTCGGGTTTCGTGTCTCTCGTTGCGTGACCTTTACCCCTCAACCCCTTCAATCTCTTCAACCCCCTCACCACCTCATACTACACCCACCCTTTTATTCACATTTGATAAATTACAGTCCTCTTAAATATTATTCTCATTTCATCGTATGAATTCCGGACCGAATAATACATTTTTTAAAGAGTAATGATTAGAGTAATGAAGACACGAGATACGAGCGACAATTATTTTGGCTGGTGATTGTACCAAGGGGTCTGCAATTGCAATTTTCAGTGGCAGTGATGATTTCCGGGGGTTTCTCTTTTTTCTGGGGAATTTCATTGGAATTTCGGGATTTCCGTTTCCCTGATGTTTCTTCGAATTTCAGTTCTTAGAAGTTTTTATTATGTTTTAGGTACGCGGGAATTTTCAGAGGTCGGCGATTGGATGTTAAAAGTTTTATGTGAAAATCGATGGATGGTATTATGGTTCAATTATTCTGTGAAAATTGTTGACGCCTGGATGGGGTAATGGATAATCGGGTCATACGGGTTTTTTTTTTTTTTGATGGAGTTTGGAGATATTTTAAAATTTTGAATGAATGGTGGAGTGATTATTATGATTATTTCCACGTAATTTCCAGTTTCTTGCCCCTTGGTCTGTACTCAAGTATTTTGTCATTGAATATTGAATGGTGGTGATGTTTTGAACGGATTTTTCAGATGACGATTTTTTCTGAATTTTGTTGATGAGGAAGTTGTGACAATTTGAGGAATGTTGAATTATTCAATTAAATATAGGATGAAAAATCTGGAGTTGAGCTCAAATGTTAAGAGTTACAAAATTCCATTGACACTTTTCATCATTAACCGCAGGGTTAAAAAAAATAATTACCAAAAATTGAAACTCTTCCCCAGCAATTCTGCAAATTCGGAAAATTCAGTAAATAAATCTGCAGGATATAATTTCGATTATCAAAGAAAATGATCCCTCAATTACCTTAATGATTCAACTGATTAATTAAATAAACGAATTTTTCCCATCGTAATTTTTCCGCATTGATATCCAATTTTCTGCGCGAAATGATTTTCGATATTAATGCAAAATTCTTCTAAAAATCGGATAAAATTGATGAGCTGATGGTTAATGATGAAAAATGTCAACAACATGGTGACGAAATGAAGAAAAAATAATATATCTGTCGTAATATAAATGACAAGGCATGAACGCACATATCAGAGAAAGAGACATTTACATTTAGATATCATTAGTGATCGGATGAAAGCGGTATTAGATTAGAAATCGTAAGATTTAAAATAGTTGATAAAAATGATGAAAAGAGCGTTAAAGTTTCCAAGATTACGAAATAATTACGATTAAGATTTAATCAAATGAAAATTGATAGCGTCAGCGTAACGGGACGAATCGCTATCCAAATATAGAAAATACCAATTATCATTAATCGATAGTTAGGACGATTGATAATGTACGATTTCTTCGCGGAATTATTCGGAGGAAGACGATAACCGCAATTGGTTGAGTTTGTGTTTAAACAATTTACATTGCATTTACATCTAGGGTTTTTCCCCCCCGTCCACCGCCGTTATTGATGATGATGTACATGAGGAGATGAACGAATAGCTGATGACACCCTCGAGGACAACAAAATCAAGTTGAATAGGTAAAATAAAATAGGCATTATAGGACGACAAGTTAAATAGTCTACGAATGTTGATACAGGTCCAGTTGTGTTTGATTGTTCCATTAATAGTGAACGAACCAACGAAGAAACATAAATAATTATTACAACTTCATTCAGACCTTTTATTTTTTTATTGCTTTCACATTGATTATTCATTACTACTGTCGTTTTTGTAATTAGAATTCTTGGAGTGATAATTTTGCCATCTTTTATTAATCCAGCGATGATTTTTTTAGTGAAAATGTCAGTGGAAATTCGAGTATTAATTTATCTCGGTATGGTCTCTGGTTTTTTTTTTTTTTTGAAGAATTCGAGGGGTGGGGCTGTTTCGTTTTTCGTTGAGATAAAAATTTGTCTGTCCTGCTTTCACGTTTCAACGTCGCCAAGTTTTCGAGCCGAGAATTGTTCTAGAATTCAGAACAATAGTCTTCATTTGAGAATAATACTTTTCTCTGGGAGAGTGGGGTGGAAAAGACATTCTCAAATCCGTGAGATAAAAAATCCGGGGGAATTGACTTCGGTGGGTATTCTGAAGGTGAAAAAATTCTGGAAGCTGTCACTGACATTCATCTTTTTTTCATTGAAAAATTCTCCACTGACGGTTGAAATATCGTGGAATGTACTGAGAAGTTGTGACGTACAGTGGAAACTACAAAGGGAATTTCATTGGGAATCGAATGGTGTTTAAGGTGTGTCACATCAACTCATCGTCAATCATTCGATTCGATTTTGATTGAAAAATATTGGGATTAAAAGATTCCCAAGATTTCAGAGAACCAGAATATTTTTCAGGGAAGGGAATTTTTCGATAATGAATTAGCGTCCCTTTTTTGAAAGTCAGAGGAATTTTCTAATTCCATTTTCACAGAATAATTGAACGAAAATTCACGATTCCTGTGACATCATGGGTTTTCAATGAACAAATTCCTGAAAATTCGAGTTCGATTCATTAAATCCCGTCATCTTCTAATTATAAACAATGAAGTCTCTTCCGCCCCACCCCAAAAATTTTTGAATTATTTTTCAACCAACGACCAGTGGTTTCGCGGGGTAAATAAAATGGGCAATTTAATCCTTGGGGTTTCGATTCACGGAGACGACCATAAAATCCCGACAAATTAATCGACAATTAATAAAATCGATAAGCTACGAATTACGGCCATTGAACAATTTAATTCTTAGAGGGGAATTATTTAAACGACACAAACTTCGCCACTACCAGAAGAAAATAGAATGAATCGAAATTTCGCGTACGCAAAGGCATTTCGCTTTCGGAGTCAGTATCGAATTTAGCGATTAAATCGATATTCGCGTATTCTCGATAGTTGTCACGATAAAATGAAAGAGAGCATTGAACTCACCCCGAAAATCACGGGAATGCAAATATTCATTGAAAATTTATTAACAATTGTAGCTTCAATTAACCAATCGCACATTATGTGAGTAATTCGTGATAAATTTGACGTCTAAATACATTTTCATCGTAGGAAAAAGGAAAATTGAAGAAAACTCAAAGAACAAAAAACATTAAGACTGGGCTTTGATCATCCGGCAATGCCATCGTCGCTGTTGATAAGTGCAATAACTAAAAAACGGTAGACGATAAGTTATTTAGATTATTTATTAAGTATTAACAGCCAATTGTGCTGCCTGCTTACCTCTCAATTCCCCATTGGTTGATTTACATTTTTTTTTCCTTCCCCGGAGAAAAATTAGTGACAAAATTTGCCCCGACGTCATGATAAATTTTTTCATTCGTGCAATTTTTACTCCGTTGTTGTGAAAATTAATTGAACAAATTACAATACCTCTTCGAAATTTTTACTGAACAACATCTCATTTTCCAACGTCAGGCTGAATTTTGTAATAAATTTTTCTCCACGTTGACTCGATTCAACTAGAGGCCCTAGAAACGATAAAAACCAAAACGAACAAAAACTAAAACGACTGACATCGTTTTGAATGCATATTTGTACAAATAAAAAAAAAACAAAAAATCGCTATACAGGAACAATAACAATGATGCATTTCAAAATTAGCGTACGATTTTTTTAACTCGTTAATTACACGACCGTGGTTTAGTAAGAAGATGGTCAATGATTGCCGCTGTTCGATGATTAAAAAAAATTAAAATATTGAAATAAATGATGATATCGACGAGCTGGGCACCCAACACCACCGAGTCACATGAAATTATAACGAACACCTGAGTAATGATAAACAATTGGCAATGAAGTAACGCGTATAATTTATGATACTGGCCCCACAGCGATGATTTGAAACCCGTGCTTAGACACCGATCAAAAGTAACCACCAAAATCCCAAAAAATGTAAAGAAAATAACGAGAAAAAACAGCAAAAAAAAAAAAACTGAATAAAACAAACTTAACATTTATTATATCCTTATATACAAAATTTTTACGGCATATACGAAATACGAGTAGAGCAGTATAAAATTTTAAATACATGCGTAGGTTAATCGTTGTTGTCTACCATAAATAGTATAGTATATACATGTATAGATGAATCCCTTAGGTAATAAGGGACGAAAGCAGGCGATGAGATGAACAATTCAATGATGAAAAACCATTAATTAGATAAGAGGAGCGAGTGAGCGAGCGTGCGACTAGTTGATGCGTGAGAATTTATCAGAGTATTAATGATATATCAATCGATAAAAGTTTAATCAATCGATGATAAATGTTGAATAAATTGAAGCAACAGACGATGAACTGTAGAAACTACCCCGAAAATGTATTATACATATATACAGATATATCAAATATATTCACATATACATATGCATATGTTGTTCTGTACATATCCGTATGTGTATATATGTATATACATATCGATCATAAATTGATAATGAGGTATAAATAATACGAGCTGTGAATACGTGATGTTCACACTTGATTAGCTAAATAAAATGGCTTTGCTTGCGATCGCCTGGAAAATATTAAATATAAATAGGACGGAAAGATTATGAGAATGAATTAGGGGAATACCAATGATTCCGGCGTTCGAGACGTGCTCATTATAACGCCTGACAACAAATGATAAATAAATATATTTGAGATAAAGGAAAATAAAGTAACCGTGTTATGTAGGCAATGTCTTATGCTAAGCACGGTTCCTCATGTTACATGTTGAATTATAAAAAAAAAAAAACAATTGATTAAATAATGAGAAAAAAATATATATAAAGTCCGTAATTTTTTGGTCCGTTACTGCAAATTGTTTGAGATTATTATACACAAGGGAAATCATACATTAATCACGTACATATAGGTATAAAAAATTACTATTGAATATGTTATATACTTGCCAACTTAAACGACGAGATGATGAATAATAATAATAATAATCATTATGGAAAAGCGTAGTCCAAAATTTTATGCCTCGCTTTTTAGTGTGAACGAGGGGAAAAAAATAAAGATGAGGCTTTAAACGACCGAAGCTGACTGTTATGTTTGTACGTGCCCTCATATCAAATAAAAAATATAGATCTGTCCCTCCAGTTATCTGCTATGTGCAACTCCATTATGAAAACAGCGTCCTTTTATTTCTTTCGCTAATTAACAAAAAATTATGGGCCAGAGGTGTGACGTAAATTGTAACAATATTTAATGAACATATTTTGTGTGCTTCGTGCATGTTTTTATAGGTGAAAATTTTTAATTGTCAAATGAGAATTTTGTACGATAGCCTTTTTTACTTTTATTAATTTTCCCTCCGATTGATTGTTCATTAATTGTACCCATACGTCAGCTGCACATCATCGGTCATGAAATGAGACAAATACCATCAAAAATGGAGATGATTAATCGAAGAGTTTCTTGCACTAAAGTATTTTGAATACAACTACTCTGTTAAGCGGCTGATAAAACAACAGATTCACTATATGAAGAAAAACTTGTATTAACGCAAATCACTCATGTTCTGGTAATGCCTGTGGTGGATGATGATTTTTGTTTTTGAAAAATTTCGACTATTCATGTTACGCTTTCTCACCTGGTTTCTACTCAATTAATAGAACAGATCGACGAATTAACGATTTTAAAATGCTGTAGAAAAGGTGCGCAGGGAAGCAATTGGTAGATCCAATTGCTAAAAACCTAGGGGTGCTATCCTAGAAGTTATTGCATTACTGATAAGAGATTAAGAAATGAAAACATTGAGTGACGAATAAAAAGAGCCACGACTAGTACCAAAACGACTTTCGCTTCCATTCTCCCTCTTCTCCACAAATAATCTATCTTAATGCTGTATTTATACTCTACTATTGAATTCATTTTTTGCTTAACCGAATCGCCAGAATAATTATCGGATTTTTCAACCAAACGGGAAATTGAGATAATACAATAAAATGAAATGTAAAAACTTGAGGAAGGGCACTGGGTCATGAACGTTGATCATCCAACTATTTTAATTTCCCTTTGAAGTTTATGATTGAATACCTCCCCCTCCTAGGCACATCTTTGTACAAACGAGAATAAATAAAGAGAAAATACATACGAGAATGAATTTTTAAACGATAACTACTCATTCTTGTCGAGTAGATGCCTGTGCATGACCGGTCAATAAAAATCCAACTCCAGTGACTACTTTGGGAAATAAAAATGATGATAATAATAGGAATAACACAAAAAGGAGTTGAATCTTTCGACGATGAAAAAAAAAAATAAATGGAGAAATGAGAAAACCCAATGTCGAGAATACACTCCAATATGCCACACGCAAGAGTCGGGTTGATGGGCCCTATCGATTATTGCCGATTACGTATATCTATGCATTATTTCGTACCAAGTACAGCTAGAAATATCCGAGTAAATTTCTCATCGTAGCAAGAGTGATGAAAAAGAATTAAATAAATTAAAAAAAAAAATAGAGGATACCTCGAATTAACAGATAACGACTAAATAATATTTGAGTGAGAGCAGTGGAGGGCTTGTGTGGTGTGTTTTCAGACCATCCTCTCTCCCCCAATTTAATCCTCCTCCCTTCGTCTTCTTTCTCTCCACCAGCCTAACAATGATTAATGAATTAAGTAATTGAATAATGAAGAAAAAAAAAACATGAAAGAACATATTGTAATCTATTGTAGATTGTTGTAGATAAATTATACGGTTTGACCGTAAATTGTTACTTTTTGTCGACAATATAAAATACACAGATATATAAGATTAAATCGTCTTATTATTTACAGCTCATGCCTGAGTACAGTTCAAGATCGTTTCTATTACAACGTCATTACTTGAAATTCTTCGAAAATTATAACAATTTATTTCAGCTGTCGAGTGGTAAATAATTTCAGAACACTGGATAATCATTCAACACCTGCCAGGTAAGTCGAACTCAACGGTTTATTAAAGATTTAATTTTTTTTTCATAAATAAACCAATGGTTATGGAAATAAATGGATAATTGCGAAAATATTAAATCCAGCACCATCTCGTTACTGGATGATTTTATTCAAATGAAAAATACTTGGAATTCATTGTGTCGCATTGGGCATTGTTGGTGATCCGACGACGTCAATAATATCCACCTTCGCCTCGGGTTCACTCTTGGGTAAAAGGGCAGGCGGTATTGTCAGGGTCTGAAACAATCGATTCACCAATGAATTACGTAAACCATTAATTACCAGACAGCTCCATAGTTCTCAGGTATTAAATTACCTTTCCAGGAGCGAGACCCTCGTACTGATGACGCAACGACTGCAACTCATAATCACAAGTAGCGAGGGCACCTCTCAACTCGTAATGAAGTACAATGTCACTCCGCAGATCATTAAATTGCTGGCAAATTTGTTCGGTGGGAGGTGGATTGAGCTCAATCTGGAGTTCATTGAGCATCTGCTCGATTCCCTTCATCTTCTTCTGGCCAAGACTGCTTGGCAATTTAATTCGCTGAGATCGTAGGCTCACACCGCTATTTTTAAAATCGGGAAATTTTATTCCCGCTGACTCGACCACCTGGAGCTTCTGGGTGTACGCGGCATCCGATTTATTTGGCCTGTTTCGAGAGGTTGTTGTATTTTTCTTCACAGCCTTTTTCTCGCTCTTCCTGGGATCCGCCTGGTGATCAGCGGCTGTTATCAGCTTCTGCAGATCTTGCGTTTTACGATCTCGCTCTTTCTTTCGCTGTTCGATCTTACGCAATTCTGTGAGCAACGTTTGCTCCTCTTCTACTTGCTCTGGGGTTCGCTCGAAGAGCTTTTTCAATTGCTCTTTGCGGCGTTTCTCGTGTTCAGCGTCGAAACTATAAATTTTATCACTGTGAGATTTTGCTTTTGTCAGGGCCCCGCAAACCTGGTAATACCTGGAATTAAAATGAAATGTGATCCATTTAAAAAATCCATTCATTTCCATTTCATTTAAACGAACTGAACGAAGATTTTTTATCCAGCATTTTTTACAGATATCAAAAAGTACTTTATTGTTCATGTAATAATCTGCAAATAACGGTTGAAATCAGATACTTTTTCCCGCTGCATTGCGGGGATAAATTCAATAGAAGGAAATTTTTAGAATTGGGTAATGCACAGCGGTTGCACCCAACCCAGGAATTACACGAGTAAAAAGAAATTCAATAAGAGATAAGAAATGGAAAAATAAATGGATTGTTTACATCTACCTCTCGAACAGAGAAGGCAGCAATAAAAATAAATTGGATGAAAGCTGGGAGTTATAAAATTATTGATGAACCAGGGACATCCAAAACCATTTATTTCAGTGATATCATTCATTCGTTTTATTATTCATATACCTCGGCTTTTCTCGTTTCTAATTAAATTGGAGGGTAAAATAAACCAATGAATTAGCAATCAATAATCAATAAAATTATAATTGACACGCTGTAGACAATAAAAAACCGTCACCCTGCGGTTTTTTTTTTAAATCAATCAATGCCCACTAAAAAATCACGGGAATTTTTTTTTTCTCTCCAGAAAAATCGTAATTACCTCTCCTTCAAGTCCTCAACAGTTCTAGCAGTGAATTTAGAAGTGTCCCACCTATCCTGAATGATGATGAACCTCAAATCAAACCTTCTGCACAGGTCAAACAGATGATCAGTTTCAGCTCTTGTCCAGCCACTGCTCACCAAGTGCTGGACATATTCAGCGTTCGAATAATTGGGAACAGGAACTTTTTTATTGAATTTAGCGAAGGGATATTCTTTTCCAGCATCAGCGACTCGTCTCCAGTGATGAAAAACAGCTCCATCAGTTCTCGCAGGATTTGTAAATGGTGTCCACTTCCAATTTCTCACCTTTTTCATCCCCAGCTTTGCCCTCACCTGTTTGTACCCCTTTCCAGTATCAGTAGGAAAGAGAGGTGGTACATCAGTATTATCTTTACACAAAAGTGCAAAGACCTCTCTGTGCATTCCCTCCGGACGTTTTGGCACTTTATTTTGATAATCATATTTACGTTTTGTCTTCTTGTCGTTTCCAAATATTGACTCACGAGTTAATTCTGTAGCTGCTGGACCCTCGATATCCAGAATATCACGAACGTCAGACGACATTTTAATTTATTTAATCAATCCTCAAATATCAATTAACGTTTACGATTTTGACAGTAGAAAATTGAATTTTATTGTTCATTTAGAGTTAATGGTTTTATCACAAAATTAATGATTTCTCATCAATTGACGTTCCGTCGATAGCTCGAGAATTGATGAGATCCTGTTATTGTTGTATTTGGGGAGAATTCGTCGGGATTCAGTTGTTCAATAATAATTCACTGAAAATCACAACTTAGGTAATAATTTGAGGATTTTTTTTAGGTTAACTTCACTGTTTGGAGAATTTTCAGGTTGATAATGCAGGAATTATTCTGGTGTCATCTGGGGAATAAACGAGGAACCTTGAAGGGCCCAGGCTGCCCAGGCAGAGAGGATTGACTAAAGTAGAGGCTCAGTTCTGGGGAAGTTGATATATTTGTTTTTCGCGTTATTACCCCAACACTGGAAACACCATCTCACTTGATTATTTCAGAAAAATAATGTAAAATAAATATCGTCAAATGCATGATCAAACTTTCATTCGGTATTACACAATTTAATCATTATTAAACAAGTAACTTAATATTAATTATAAGTTGTGAAATTCGGTGATTGGCAATAAAAATAGTGATGGATAACATAGGTTAATCGATCAATGTCGTTTTCTTTTATCATCTCTTCTATGCTCTTTCTCATCCTTCCTTTTAGAGCTCGACGACGACGTAGCCCCTGCACTAGCGGCAGTTCCACTAGCCCTCTTGGCCTGTTTCAAAAACTGATCCAACCCGAAAGGATCCTCTTCATCCTTTTCAAACTGCACAGGTCCCGATCTAGTGGCACTTCTATCCGTTCCCGAGAATTCCTTATCAGGTACGAATCGATTTGTTTTCACCAATTTCTCCAAATCATCGCCATAATTGTCTTTATCAATGTTTTTACCAGGTCGATAGATATGGGAACCCAAAGAATTTGAGTCCCTCCAGGGCTTATCATAAATATTGTACTCATCGTCATGCCCATAGCCGCTATCCATTCCCTTGGAAGTGTTGAATAATCTTTGATCGAACTGAGCATCTCCAGTGGACACACTCTTGGCAGGCATTCCCAGAGCGATTTGTTCAGAAATATCTCGTTCTCGTTCTCGCTGAAGTCTCGATCGCTTGTCAGGTGCAGCCCTTGCTAGATTTCTTTCTCGTGCTCTATCCTTATGCCTTTCATTTCTCAATTGGTCCCTCTCCCTCAACTCCTCAGCCTTGTCCAGTGCAGCAGCAGACTTCAACCCCGCCCTTTCCTCTCTGGCTTTCTGTGCCAACTGTCTCAGATGATCTTCCTTTTTTTCTTTATCCTTCTGAGCGAGTTTTTTCTCCAATTGAGCACGAGCCTCCACAGCCTCCCTGGCCTTTCTATCAGCAATGTACAGGGCCTCTGCCAATTTAGCAAAATTCTCATTGATATGTACTTGCTGAAGACCTCGACCATCAGCCGCCAAACGCTTGTCCAAGGGAATCGTGTAACCCTTTGCGTTCTTCCAGTTGCTGATGCAGGGTGGAATTTTCCATTCTTTTTGTTCTTTAACGGTAACTTTCCTCGTGGGGGAATGCATCACTGGAGCTGGAGGTGAGGGAGGACCTCGGGGTATTTTCTTATTTATTTTGAATTTTGGAGGCTCTATGGGATCTACCTGAGCCTCCACCATTCGTATGACTCTCTGTTTGGCCCCGGAATTGAAAGATTGTCCCTGTTGAGAGGGAGTGTAACGAATGTACTGGGCTGGACCTAATTTTTCTGCACAGCGAACTGGCATCGCAGCAGCTATTTTCGATTGTGTGATTTTCTCGAGAGCCTTACGAGTGCGTTCAGTGATCTCTGCAATTTCTTCTTCGTCTGGACGCTGGAGAGATGGATCATTTTCAGAGGCAATCTCCGAGGGAAGAAGGTCACTCAGCTTACTATAGACCACTTTATCTTTGGCATGGCCTTGACGAGCTATCATATCGTATTTAACTTTCCCCTGGGCATCAAGTTGCACTGCTAATGCGTTGCTGGAGGACTCTTTACCCTTCATACCCATACCCAGAGGATACTGTGCCACCTGGATTTCAGGGAAGGCGCCTCCGTCCCCGAAATCCTAAATACAGAAGAGAAAGTGTAATGGGCGAAAAATGAGGCATTCGTGAGTATTAAAATTTTTAATTAGACCAAGATCGAAGAATTCTCCGCGCTAATTCGAAAAATCAGTGTTAAAAAATATTTTCATTATGGAATTTTGGAATTGTTACCTCGGGTATGCGGGGCACCCAGCCTTTACGTTGTCCATAAGGTGGGGCTGTTACTACTGCCTTGACAAGAGCTGATACTGGCCTCTGTCGAAGTTTTTGCTCCCGAGCTTCATCCTCGCGATCCCAAACAACCTGACTCGGTGCAGGAAGGAGGCTAAACAAAAAATAGATAACATTTCGGAAAACTTGCTGACCGTTAACATTTATTATAAAGGCCAAACATAACCCCTGCAATGAAGAACATTTATTCGAGATGATCAGAGTTGAATTATTCAACTTTTCAGAGGAATTATTGAATGGGATTGAAGCTGTATGAATTGTGATCTAACAATGAGAGAGACAAATAATTATTATTATTAAATAAGTGAACTAACCTGGTTAAAGACATTTTGTTGATGTGAGATGCCATCAAGCCCAGCTAACACTCGATCACGATGGCACACGAAAAAACGCCTCTTGACGTTACGCTTGAATCAATTCCAACAATATCCACTAGATGTCTCTACTAGTTTGAAATTCCAATGTGTAGAACAAGCTGTATTGGATGGGAAATTACATCCTCGCATAATCCACTGTGAACTGCAGCCAAGTGATGTACATCGTATAAAATTTTTAATTACCAAATGTATATAGTATTAAATTTTTAATTATCAGATGGAATAATACACGAGATTAAAATTTATTCAATGATCCTTCATTTATGCAGATATTGCGGGAATTAAGAATGTTTCAGTGACAATACAATTCATGTACAATTATAGCTTCTTGATTAATTATTTACAGTAACGGTCCGACTTCATTTTACTCCGTCTATCCAGTAATGTCTCGTGGAGAATTCCCTGGGTCTTTGCCTCCTCTAGTTGAGCTCGATCTCCACTATTTATCCTTAATTTCTTATCCTGGAATTTTTGGAATTTTCTCCTGGAATAATTTTACCTTTTAATTTCTGTTTTGCAAGATATTTTTCATCTACTTTTCATTCGGAATAAAATATCATCTTACACGTAATTAACTTCAATTTGGGAGAGGGATCCTTGTTCCTCGAGCGGTACATCCTTGTAAGGATCATCGATTTTCTGAATCATACTCCTGAGAGATAGATACTCCCCTGCCCCAGCTGTTTTGCTCTGACAAACAGCATCCTCTTCATCTGATATTGACATGAAGCACCCGTTGTTCCCCAGAATTGCCAATTTTCCATCCTGAAATCAGAAGAAATTCGTGTCGAAGCCCTCGGAGAATTTCCCCATTAATAAATTTTGTATAAAATTATTGAGATAATTATCCAGAATTGTTAAAAGACCTGGAAGATGGGCTCCCACTGCTCCATAGCCCCCACAGCGTCACTTCTCCCTACAACAACTCCTTTTTTATCAACACCAATGTACTTTCCATATCCAGACTTCAGGGCTATTTTTGTCTCATTCACTGGAAATGCTGTGAGGATTTCCTCAGGGGACGGGCCCTCACCCTCGTCGTGAGGAGCACCCAGGGTGAATAATCCATTGTCCAGGGCTTTCACGTACGTATGATTACCGAATTCAATTGCCACTGTTCCTGTTATTTCGGTGATGCTCTTTACTTTCCACCAGCCGCCTAAATTCATGACAGAATTTAAAATCCTCTTTCAGGAAAATTAGAGGAAATTTTGATAGACAATCGACAATTACCGTGTTGAAGGGCATCAATGTCTTTTGTCTCTGAGTCTGTCTCGTTCCTTCCATGTTTTTTATGTTTCCTTTTTTTGGACCTAAAGTTAATGGAATTCCTCATAATGATACCGTGGTAATTAATTAAAATCATAATCGAGGCAATTGAGAATAAGAAAAGACGAAGGGACAAGATCGAAATGTTGAATTTATAATAGAATAACAATACGCACTTGACTTTTTCTCCCTTCAGGCACAATTTCTTCACTCTCACTTTCTCGTACTCAGCCATTCGATTGAATTTATGGACTAGCTATAAAATCCTCAATATTCTAAAACCAAAACAAACAATTCAGGAATCCTCAATACACTCACTCGACTCTCATAACATAACCTCGATTTTTTATTTGTGTAGACGATGCGACAGCCTATGAATGCAGAAACTTCTTTATCTAAAGAGCAAGCGTGCCTTTTTTGAAATCTCTAAAAAATTACTGAACCCAGATTTCTTTACAATCTCTTAAATAGAAATTCATTTATTCATTAAAAACCTTCATTTTTTTTCCAACAACAAATAAAAGAAAAATTTTACAATTCCTTTATTCGAGATTTCCCATCTCAATAGAAATAAATTAAATGATGAAATAGAGTATAATAACAGAGTATTATTACTACGACCAATAAATTTATTAATTACATAGTTGAATAAGTGAATAGAACACGTAAGAATTGTTCCATCGCTTTGCTCTCTACTTGGGCGACAAATGGCTCTTCTTCGAGTGCTTGGTGCACTTGCGCTTAAATTTTTTGGTTTTAACATCACTCTGATTTTTATCCCCATTGACAGCAGTTCCCTTTGAGACCTCGCTCTTACTCTTTTTGAGTTTCCTTCTGCCTAATCTGGCACTCTTGCGAGCTGGTACACTGACTTTGATCCTCACTCCCTTCTTCTTTTTCTTTCGTTTCCCTTTGTTCATACCAGCAATTATAGCAGCTGTGTCCTCTGAGACTTTGATCTTCTGCTGCTGAGGAGCAACGGCAACTCGGGTGAATGATTCGTATAATATATCACCGCAGCTCTCCCCGAAACAGTACTCTTCACCACATTCACCGCATATTTTTACACTGCTTTCTATTATCCCAGCACGATTCTTACTCCTTCTGATGGGGCTGATGGAGATGCGACGGTCTTTCGCTAATGTCTTCAGCTCGAGCTTCCCCATCTCGACCTGAATTTCAAATTTTTTTTGTTCATCTCGTTATTCAGCCGAGTTTTCGGGAAATATCTCTCGATCTAAGGAACATAGCGAAATTTTTGTGGGAACCTTTTTTATAGCACTCATTTCATTCGGCAAAAAAGCTCTCAATAAAAGTTTTGCTATCTCTCTTAGATTCGGGGATATCGCTCAAAACTGGATTGCGGAGTTGAGAAGTTGAGGGTATCCATCGATTTATGACCTATGAAAGTTTTCGGGGAATATCTTCGAATGTAAGGGAGCCAGCGTAATTTTTATGAGGACATTTTTTGTGCAGCGAAATGAGAGCTACAAAAAATGTCCAACAGTGATTTCGGTATCTCCCGTAGATTCAGAGATATTACTCTTCGCTGAGTTTGAATTGATGGTCAATCACATGATGGTTGATCAGTGAACATTTAATTGCTCCATGAAATTTTCAAACAAAAATTACCAATCGAGAAAACATCTCCTCGTCGGCCCTCAACTTTGGCCTGAGAGGCGTCAGCATCCTCCAGTCGATGGCGACCCTCTGGAGCTCCTGGAGATCGAGACTCCTCATGTCCGGAGGAATAGGATCGCCATATCCCCATTCCCGCTCCATGAGCTTCAGCTCCTTCTTCGTTGTTCTCCAAGAGAAATCCTTATCCCTGACCTTGACGTCATCCCTCTTGAGCTGCGCAGAAAAATTCCAGAATTCCAAAATTCCAAAAAAAACACAATAATTACTCCTGATTACTAATTAATTGAGTTATGGGTTTTTGCTGGAAATTATTGAGTTTATCATCTGAAATTAAAATGCAGAATCGAATAAAATAAAACTGCACCTTCTCGGGTTTAATCTTGTACTCAGGACAGCGTTCACGAAGTCGACGAAATTCCTCCTGCGAATTACACGTTGCCTTACTCAAATCGGGAATTAAATTACCATCCCTCTTGTCGTCCCTCAGTAAATCATCCAGTTGAAATGCCATAATACGAAGTTAATTTGTTCTGTAAAATGGAGAAAATCGACTAACTTCCTCTATTTTCCCGTGCAGAATTATTGTCAATAAAATGTAATTATCCTCTCGAGTATCCATTCATGAAATTATCAGCCGGTACCCAGACAATCGATTACCAAATCATTATTTTAACTCCGGCAAAGGCGGGTGAATTAATAGTAATCGGTGTTAGGTGATACCAAACATCTCTCGGAGTCCCACTCCTGCTGTTTGAATAATAGCCCCTGCAATATCAATTTATAAATGTAAACGCTTGTTTCGGAGATTATTATTATTGAGGATTATTTTTGCATCGGGTGGAGCCTCTCACGTTTCTCATTGCTGTCAGCTGCGAGATAATTTGCTCGCCGCATCCCATGTCCAATTTTCTCGGTGATTCCATTTTTTCAACTCGACAGTTACTGGCCACTTCTTTATTATCAATAACTTGAATGTTTATGCGGCCATGCTCGTCGATTCGCAGAGGAACCACTGAGTTTAAGCTGTCCATTGAGAGATCGGCGTCGTAATGCTCTAATTTTACTTTTCGACGGGAGGAATTGCGGATTTTTGATTTTACGTTTGTGGATTTTCGACGGCTCGGCGACGGCGATCTGAAATTTTACGTCGCATCAGATCACGATTTTGATTCTTCGATGATCAATTCGCAACGAAAAAAAAATTTGGGATGAATTTTACCGGGGGCCGTGGAAATATAATGAGCAGAGTTATTGAAAAAATTTAAATGTCGATATTACAATAGAATTTTTCATACCTCGATCGTTCGTCACTCGATTCAACCCGACGTCTCCTCAACCTTAATCGCCTTTGATAATGCGGATCCTTTTCGCTCTGCGTGCGATAGCGTGTACCGGGCCTGGGCAAAGCTTTAATCACTTTGAAATCAATGGAAATCCTCACCGGTTTTCTCATATCCGATAAAACCGGATTGGGTGATTCTCTGATGATTCCACTTACCTATTGGCGTTCCATCGGGGTCGGGCGTCGATGCTGGCACGCGGTTGGGATTTCGATCGGGAATTTTTTTCGTCCGTCGAGCCGGTGCTGATTGACCTACAATCCGTGGAGCATTAAATATTCGCCCCACAGACGACGTTAGAACGCGTAAATGGGACAGTAAAGTAGAAATCGCAGAATCGATATTTTTTTCTCATTTTCGATTTGTCGAAAATATATGGAAAATTTGAAAAAGCCAGTTACCCCCATTCCTCCCCTCTAAAAGTAATGGATCAACCCTAAGGGCTGGGGGTGAGATGTTTGTTTTTCGTGAAATTGAATTTTCCAAAAAGCGATAGCGAATTGACGCACAGATAATTCCCCCAGCCCTTTTAATAAAATCCCCTGCAATCATTCAATTACTTATCAATATCCCTTCTGCTGGTGTTAACGATTTCCTTCCTGTCCTTGGAGTCTTTATCCCCGTCACCGTCATTCTCCCCATCAGTCTGCGTACCAAAATCCCTGCCAGATGCGTTTCGATATTTGCTAGGTGTCAAAAGTCGATTCTCTCTGAACCTGGGTGAGCACATGGTGCCCATTGAGTTCGTCTGACAATTCCCCATGGTCTTGACAACGGCATTAATCCCACGAGTCCCTGATGGCTGATCCCTATCCCTCGGGGTTGAATTGACGATGAGATTGAGAAGCTGGAGATTGGAGCCAGTGAGGAAATCAGAGTCCTCAATCCTCCCCGTTAGGACAATGGCAACTTCCTTGTTGATGGGCAGCCGAAGGTGTCCCTCTTTAATTTCCTCGACGATTTTATCACCCCCATCCATATCCTTCGGGGAATTCTCCGGGGGAAGATCAGCCTTGGGTTGTGCTTCACTGGTTGTTGATAGTTCATTAGTATTTATAGTTTCTGTAATTTCAGGGCCATTGAACTGGCCGACGTCACTGACGTCGTCTCGCTGACGTTTTTGCCGTCTCTCCTCCCGGGCGATTCTCTCCGCGGTCTCGAGGATTTCCCGCATGGCCATCTCCTTCTTCAGTTTGACGTCTTCCTTGTCTTTCAATCGTTTCTGCTCCTCCTCAAACCTGAGGAAACATTTTAGTCAATAGGTTTTCGGTGGATACCTCCGAATCGAAGAGAGATATGAATGAGATATAAATTCCCTCTTCAAATTTTCGATGTACATTTCTTACCAGTTTAATTACAGATAGTGGTACCCACCTCTCCTTTTCCTTGTTCCTCTCCCGGAGAATTCTCTCCTCCTCCTCTCGCTCCTCCCGGAGCTTTCGCTCTCGCTCCTCTAGACGCTTTCTATCTTTCTCCTCCAGTTGCTGCTTTATTGCATTCTGGAGTTCTAATGCCTTCTGCCTTTTTGCCTCACGCTCTTGTAGTACGTGAGCATCTACTGGGATATTTTGACCCCTCAGGTACGTCTTCGAGTCAGACCCGGTGGAGCCTGTCGTTGAGCTGTCTGGGCTGCTGGCACTCTCGTGATTTATTACCAGAATCTGCGGAATTATTATTGAGTGAGCGATAGCTGGGGAGTAAAAATACATTTTTTGACACTTCGCAGCTGGCCATTTGATCCTCAAGGTCTCATTAACAAGAGACTTGTTAATTACCACCATAAAAAATCTTATTACTTGATTTATCGAATCAATTGATTTTTTAGGGTGTACCTGGCTTGAGTGATCCAGTCTGGAGAGTCCTCGTTCCAGCCATGAGGGTGGGGGTGGATCAGGATGATGATGATCCTGATTCCACAGGCTTCCCCATCTCGGTCGATTGAGCTCGACGAGGCGCGACGAGAAATGTCTCGACGATGGTGGAGATGTGTCTGACGTTTCGCTGTACGGATTTGGCCAGGGTCTAGACAACTCTGTGTCTAGGGATTTATCGAGTGGTGCTAATCCTGCAATCGATCAGTAGTTTTGTGGTGCTCGTTGGAATTCGAGGGTGTGGGAATGGGGAGGGTGAATTAAAATTCTAGACTCACTCTTGACGTCAGTCATTTGGAAGCCTAGGGGTGGCTCTATCGAGTCACTCGCGTAACCGGATGTCTCACCCTCTCGTTCCTCGTATCCACTGCGATGCTGGTTTCGCCCTGATTCACCGGGATACCTTCTGCGGTAATTTGTGTACCGCGAACCCTCAACTTCTAATCCGGCAAGTTCCTGAGGAGAAAATTTCGAGGTATCGAGTCGGAAAATTACAATATCCCATCACCCACGCCTGCACTTGGTTTTTTATTTAAATTAATGAAAAAATGTAATTGCGTTGATAATTAATTATGGGGTTTTAACTCGTGATTTATGTTTATTCATTTTTCACGTGAGTTTTTATGACAGAACTCTGATAATTATTATTGACAACATTTTTTTTCTCCCCTGGATCATGCAATAAGATTAATTCTTTATTTTCACGCGATGTGGACTGAAAAAAAAAAGCACAAATCAAAACTCGAAGGTTCATTTTATTTTCCATGAACAAACAGTAAAGTAATCGCGAAGTAATCGATTTATTTCGAAAACTATCAATTTAATGGAAAACCACGAGAAGAGCTTTTCAGTAGCTAATTAAATTTTCCACGAAAAAGCTTTTTTCATATTTCCTCCTAAAATCAATAGTTCCCACACAAACTGATGTTGAAAAAACCTCAAAAAACCATACTGCTGTCAGAATGAATAATTCATAACTAATTACTGTTAATTACAGAATAATTACAGTATAATTACTTCGAGGATGTTCAAGTGGGTTACACAGAGTCAATAAAATCCATCCCATGAATAAATAACCATAATAATTCCAAAAATCCACGTGGGTTTCCACGAATTCCGCGTCGGAACGGGGTGGTACGACTTCCTTTCCCTCCGACCTGCGTGTTTTACCAGAGGGTGTGTTACCCGGCATAACGATCCCCTTTTCTGTTTCTAACCCCCGACATAAGAAGTTATTCGTATCCCGGGGTTCGTTGAACCATTTGAAATCGATATTCCGTGCCGATGTGTGCCGACGTGCGTGAAAGCAACCCCCAGGGGGTGGCTTTCAAAGAAATTGTGGGATTCGGTCGAGCTATTGGGGGTGTTATTTTTTTTTTCTTTGCACTCAGCTTTTTTGGATTTTTCTTTTTTTTTCCTCGAGGTACCTGGATGGAGTGACGGGACTCCTTCGTGTGGATCGGGGGAAGACTGGGACTTCTCTTTCGTATCGGCCCTTGTAATTCTGGACACTCCAGGATATTGATCATACTGCCGGTGTAGTCTAAACTCTGAAGGCTCGTTGAACCTGTCTCCAAAGTACGGAGACTAGTCGTGCTGCCGTAATTTTCACTCGCACGGAGAGGCTTGCGAATCGCGGGGTCGCGGGATGATAAACGTGTCCTGCATTACCAGGATATCAAAATTATATCGAAATATTAATATATCTACACCAACAACATCCAGATAATAATAATTTATAAATATACATAGATATATAAAAAAATATACGTATTTAAAAAAAATTGTGCACCACAAGATCTGGAAATAATTATTTGCTTTCGCGATAAATAAATTATTATTAAATCATTATATGAATTAATGTTGATTAATATACTCGTTACACATTTTCCCACAGCCGTCAATTACTTCGGAGGTGTTGGATATTTTTTAATGCACAAAAAAAAGGAAAATTAAAGGCGAATGAAATAACTGGAATTAAAATGAAAAAAAAATGAGAATTACCGAACAGTTGTTCTCGTGGCGGTTGAATTCTTCGCGGACTCCCAGTGATTACTCAGTCTTGCCATTTCCTCTGATAAAAAAGTAATGAGTGCACTCGATATTAGTGCATACCCTTTAATTCAAACGAACAATTTACCTTTTTCCTTCGCCCACTGCAGTCTCTTCTGTTCCACGAGCGACACTCGTCCCGTCATGTTAATTAATTACCCCGCAATTACCTCGTACTGAAAAAGGGGCATTGAAGGAACTCGAGAGGATAACCGTGAAGCCCTCGAGAGGTAATTGCGATAAAAATTCCAAGGTAATGAGTGATTAATGTACTTACAATTGAGTTATTGAATTTTCGAGGAACTTCGATTCACGTGGGGATGAATTTTGTTGTTTAATCGGGATTGACGTCGTAGGGACGACAGCCCAGGAGGCTCTACTCGTCGAGACGATGGTGAACCCTAAGGTGGACTTCGTAAATTCGATCGGGTTTTGTTGCCATAGCTACTATCGGGTATCGGGCGGGGGTTTCAGGTACAGCCGACGGTGAGGCCTCATTTTTCGTTGTCAGGGTTCGAATCGATGGTCGCATCGATCCACTAAATGAGATGCCATCGGGATAATGACCTCCGACTCACGGTCAACGGCACCGAGTGGACATTCAGGATGATGGGTCTTTACACTGGGGTGTAATAATCCACAACACGCATTTACCCTTTATTCATAACTCCCCCAGATCTATCACCTTCACTGTTCATTGACTATTTTTTCCCTCACAGAAAATCAATCCGTCATACCAGAAACGCTTTATTTGTTATTATTAATAAATATTAAAAGCACGTGACAAATTTTTTTTCAACAAAATCCCATGTCCATTCATTCCGTCTGGAATAAAAAAGAAAATAAATAAATAAATCTCTCGAAAAATATTGACAGTGTCCGGATAAATCAATCTTATTTCAATTGCACTCGTCTTATCTATTACGCTATAATTATTTGGATTGTTTTAATTCGGTATCAATGTGGAAATGAATAATTATGTGGAGTAATTATCGGGATAATTTTTTCTGCCTTGCAGGGTAAATATAATGAGATATTTATCTCCGCGTGGTGGCTGCGTCGGCGGCTCAAAAGCTCCCTCTCTTAATACTCGTTGTGGGAGCTTGTGGCAAAAGCTCCCCAGTCTCCGTCAACGTCGGCCAGTACGTCGTCGTGCGTTGACCCGATCTGTGAATTTGTACGGATTTCACCCGTCTTTACCCTCGGATTAACAATATTACAATCGGTACGTACACCAAAATATTTATTTGGAATTATTTTCACCGTTAAAAAACACGGGATTGATTAAAGACCGCATGATAACGTGTAATTCGCGAATGACTTTGTGCTTTCGTTTGGAATTCATATTTATCAGGACCGGTTTTTTTTTTTTTTTTGCCCGCCATACTCGCATGTGGTACGTCAAAAAGTAATGGAAAAATAATTTTTACGCTGAGAGAAATGGAATATTAATCCCTTGATGCAATGTTTTAATGGAATTGATGGGGGAAAATCCCGGGGGATAATTTCTGGGGGAATGAGGGTGCGAGGAAGATAGTTTTGTTATTGATTTTCATGTTTAATATTTATTATGGGGGTTTTTCACTGCAACATCGAGATTTTTTTTATTTTTTCGGACCTCCGGATTAATTTGCAACAAATAATCAATTTTTATATTAAAAGAATGGAATACCAAATGATATGATTATTTTTTTAGTTGATTTACCTTTTCTATTGTTTTCTCACTATTTTTAACAATTATTTGAACAATTGAAGAAGAATATTTCGATTGTATTTTATTATTATTCAAGTTTATTTTCGTTGCAGTCACTCCAACTTCATATTTCTGCGACAATTTTCTGATTCTACGATTATATTTATTCAATGTACGAAATTCTACGAAACTCAAAAAAAAATTGTGTGCCAGCGGAATTTTCACTGCACGCACAATTTCCCGCGGAAAATATTTGACTAAGCGATGATCTAGTCTGAAACCTCAAACATTTACAAATATTTACAAATATTTACATGTAACAGGTCAATTTAGTTGACAGGAATAATTTGTTTTCTCATTGCGGGAGAAATCCCTGGGGCAGAACAGATCGTGTTTTATCAATTTTGGCAGGAATTTCGCGGTTCTGTCAATTCTATTTTATTAATCCCAGAGCCTGTACTTTATTATTATTTATGTTAATGCCCCTCATATATTCGTGCGTTTACAATTTGGGATTAAAATTTGAGTACTCGTTGATCGATTACACCGGAAATTCGCAAAACAAAACACTTGTCTCATTTAATTTTACGATCATTGGCACGTCAATGTCGGTTTAACGTCGGCCCCCGGTGGTGGAAACTCCACGCGATGAGTGAATCGTGGAGATACAGGTCAGGAACAATGAATTGTTGTCTAGTAGTTGCGATGTACATCAAATTGAAAATAGAAACGTTGAAATTCAGTAACTAAGTGGCAAATGATATGTGGATAAGTGAATTTTTTTCGAAACCAATTTTTAGCCGGTATCTCGGAATTGAATGCACATAGCGAATTTTTCGTATGAACATTTTTTGTGGAGAAAGATGAGACCTACAAAAAAGATCTGTATGAAAATATCATTATTTTGTGTCAATTTTGAGAAATTGGGTGGAAACTGCAGGCGGAAAAAATGCAGTTATCCTAGTTTACCAATTCGCAGCAAAATTCTGTAAGATGGAATGACAAGGTGCCAAGTATCGTAAATTCAGAGTGTCCAGACTGATTTGTTCATTCTACTTCATCTAGATTATTACTCGCAGATAACAGATTCGGAGATTAATTGTCAGTGAATTGTTGTGCTCTTGAGGAGATTCCACTTGTCCCAAAAGTTGCAACAGCTCGAAACTGAGGTGCGTCGTAAAACTAGATTTATGAGAGGGTAATGAATCGAGTTTGCCAATTTCAAATGAATTCCGTATTGTTCAAGTTCCCAGGAATTTTTATTTAATTATTACGAAGGAAATGTATTTTTAGGGGGAATTTAGTGGCCATCGATTTTCAGAGAAAATTTCAATTCAGCCCACGCTAAAAAATCTGGCTTCTCACAAATATTGTGAGTCGAATTTATATTATAAAAGTTCATATAATAAATTTTTAGGATATTTTTTTGATGGTTTTTGATTGAAAAATTGAATGAATAAAATTTCGATATGTAATAAAACGAATTAAAATTCCGCAGACAAGAATTTTCAGAGAATAACTCAGAACCTGAGCCAGATAACGAAATTTCTGTAATAACCTTTTTTCTAGGTTTTAATGAGACCTCAAAAAAAGGTCATAACGAAATTTTCGATATCAGCCCTGAATTCCGAGATATTCACTGAAAACCGACGGCAAAAAATCGCGGATTGTAAAAAAAATCAATTCAGTAATTACTCCAGTTTACGTAATCACCGAAATTTCTCGTTTCGATCATGACCAAACGGTTGACGGAGTAAAAAATAATTGAATGGTTACTAAATTCAGGGGAAACTGGGTACAGATAAAATAAATAAATAGCCGAATAGTTCAGTTTCAAAGAGAATAAGTTATCACCGCACTGCAACTAAAAATTCATCGTATCCCTCGATATTTCTCAACCGCATTTCTCACTCGAAATTACCGACACTCAGTACCCGTCACCTTGTGACACAGCACTCAATACAGAATGGAATTGGGATGATTGCAGTGGGTTGAGCCTGAAAATTGCCTGCGTGCCAAGATCATGAAGAAGAGGTCCCAGAAAGTGTACCACAGGTGGAAAATCGCACAGGAAAACGTCAAATTAATATCAAATATTTCAATCACCCCATTCACCTCAGTATTCATTAAAAATCCATAAATAATCCTCCGACAATTACCCACAGGGCGGGGAGAGAAGTTACGGCGCGTCGTGGCGCATTTCATTCAGAATTTGTTTACAGAGAGTGGAAATCCCGAGATAAATCAAGCCGGGGATAAATGATCTTTCGCATGAGAATAAACTGAGTGATTGCATATTTTTCTTCTCAGTAAATACTTCGGTGGAGGAGGAATGAATTCATTATACGCGGGTTGAGGCGCCGATTTTTGCCGAGTGGTCCCGCGATTTTTAGCTCAAATTTTCCTTGTTTATTCCACCATTGTGTTAAATAAACATCGTGGAGGTTTGCAATGGGTTATAAATGACCCACTCGATGATGCAAGTCATTGTTGACGATTAATGGCAGTGGTGGTGTTACGTAATTTTGTCGAGGAGAATTGAGAATTGAGTTGAGTAAAAGCGAAACATTGAATTTTAAGGTCCACAATTTTTATTCAATTTGAGATGAAGTCATTCATGAATGGTCACCATTCACCTTGAAAATTCAACAATTTTGCATTTTTACTTCAATTGAAAAATTGAAAAATTTAATTGAGTTGAGGAAATCGCCGATTTTTGAGGAAAATCGACGGACTTTTGTTCGGTCTATTAAAAATATTATTGAAGACTGGAGAAATTGTTTTATTATCGTCAAATGATGATCAACCAACAGTGATTTCCCCTCTGTTTCAACGGAGAAGTTTCGCCAAAAAAAAAAATGAAGAAAGAATAAAGAAAGCGATACGAAAATAGTTTTCAGTGAATAGGCGCTTGCGCACCGACGACAACCGCATTTTTTTTCCCCTTCGGCTTTAGCTCCAATAAAGCCCCTCCATTTGTTTATTCATGCAGCAAAATTAACATTTGCGGGGAGTATTTTTCATGCTCACTAGAATTTTCTACGACTCAATTTCACCGGCAACGAGGACTGCAATCGTAAAGAACCTGGAATGAGGACAATGCAAGGGCTTTTGTGACGTCAATGGGAAAATCGAGGAAATTCTCGGTAACTGGGATAAGACGTACGTCTTGGGAATCGTTATTCTCAGGGTAGAAATTAAATGGCGGGAATCCGATGCCCTGAGGGGATGAAAATCGAGGGGACCTTTTACCTCAACAACTCCAGGGAAATTCCATTCAAATTGGAATATCTTCCAAATATATCTCCAAACCTGAAACATTTATTGAAATACCAACCATTCAGAAGTTCCTCTGAATAATTAAATAATTAAATAATACAATAATAACAACAATAATGAATGTAATTATCATTCAGCTTTTAAATTGATTTCAATCGAAATAAAATAGAACGATTGGTCAATCACGAGTTGTTAAAATATTGCCCTCAATATTTTAAACTGGAAATTTCAGTGACAATTATCCGACATTGTGAAATATTTTTTGTGAGTGCAGATTAGCCTGTCGATAGAATTACCGACGTAGCGCTCAGCTAGACAAACTCTATACTTAGACCTGGGTAGGGAAGAGGAGTCAACGTGGTGTCGGGTACGGGGCCAATGTTTAACTGTTTTTTTTTTTTTATTCCCTCAAACACATGGACATCTAAATATACCGAGAAGAACTCGAATTAAGACGACCACCGGTGAAACAACGTGTTCGAGTATAACCGGTGGTTTATTGCCACTTGCTCGGCACGTACAGCCGATTGAATTTTTTTTATTATCCCACCCTGGTATATTGTTCGCCGGTCCGAAACATCCCAGACACTCGGCTGAGTGTCGAATTGTTGACATTATCCCGGAATGTTTTTTGGCGTCTGCGCCAGGGGAAACGAGAGCTTTTTCGTGACTCCCGGGGGTAATCGGCTGCTGGGAAACACTGCGTCGAATATCCATTGGTCGAGAGCCAACTGACACGATGATCAGCTTTGACGGGGTTTAATTAAGTTCATGCTGACGTGTATCGGGTGGTTCATTAATTATCGTCGTGAGAAGCTCATGAACGGCTACAATTAATTACGAGATTATTTCAGAGTTGCCTCTGATCTTTTATTATTTTCACTCACTATTATTTATAATTACTCCATTTCAAGTCATTTTTCCATTGACCTTTCGAGTTAAGAATATTCATCATTCACTTCAAAGATCCGTCTATTTTTTATCGAGAAATAACTAGAGTGAATAATTAAGTCACCTAGTTCGCTATAATTAAGTCCTCACATCGGAAAAATCACTGGAAAATCCACTGGAAAATCCACTGGACTTGTCAATAAAAAATGGATAACCGAATCGTAATAATTATAATTATTCTCAATTTTTTAGAAATTTTTATCATCAGTGCAAGAGAGAAATGATTTAATTAAAATTCACGATGACAACTGAATTCCAGGTACGCGACTTCAGTTGGTCCCGGAAAATTCGTGGAAAAACAGTACAAAAAGACTCTAGTTTTTCACGGGATATTCCACCAGGAAGCAGCGAAAATGTGAATGAATTTACCCGGAAACCATCCAACTGCCGATTTTTGTGGAATTTTAATTGAATCGGTGGCTAAATGATGCGGTTAATGGGAATGGAAATCGAGGGGTTGGAATAGTCGCACTTAGGAGTGAGTAGTTTCCCGAGTGATTTAACTCCTGGGGGTGAGTGGGCAATGAACTTTACCGATGCACCGGAGATACAAACCAGCAATTTATGGATTGACTTCTGGTTGACTGGAGAAAATCGAGAGAAAAATCCAGCGAACGAATAACCCCGACACCATGAGAGTCTGGGAGAATTGAATACACAAGTGTCAAGTGAAAAAACTTTTTTTATTGTTTATTACTTTGGATTTGATAACGGGAATTCTACCCTCGGATTTTTCTCTGTACTTCGAGGAAACATGGCGAGTCGCATGAAAGCACTTTACAATCAAGTGAGTAAATTATTAATTTATTAATCATATGAATTCACATTCAATTTTTTAATTAAAAATATCTATTAATATCTATTTTCGGAGAGACTCATTGAAAAAGGAATTTATTAAATAATAGTTGAATAATTGTTATTCCATGAATAATTTATGGAGTTCATTCAGGATGTTAATTGGAGAAAATAATTTAAAAATCCGGTTTGTTAATTATTCGGTTATTTTTTCTAATTATTTCGGTGGGTGAAGAGAAAATTGATCAATTAAAGCGATAAGACTTGTTTCTGATGATTATTTCGATGCGAGATTTTTTATATTTTTTTCTTGAGATCTGCGTTATTCTCTCGTTTCATTTTCTCGTCTCGGAATTATTCGATTTCCCGGCGGTACTTTTATCAGGCGTGACTCTATTTCAGTTGGAAAATTCAGAATATCGATTCGTTCCTTTATTTTCAAAGACAGACAAAATTTCAGAGGAATTGAGGGACGGGGGGAGGGGGATGAGGGGTTCCACTTCCTTGGAAGGGGATGGGATGTCTCTTGTACTTACGTATTCAGGTTGGAGATTTTTTGGGGCTCATCAGAACGGAACTGATTCCATATCTCCGAGATTTCAGTCGCACGTTCTTGAATTCAATATTCCAATCGGCACTTCCGTTTTTTCATTTTGTCGTGTGTCTTCACGAATTTTTGAGTTAATTCAAATGTCCCATCAATCCCCGAAAAATTCCCGGATGGTACCACAATTTTTGATAATAATTCTCCTCACATTTACCATTTATTTATAACAATTACCAATTAATTAGCGGAGAGTAATCGTGACGCGTCAGAAGTTTGAGAAAAAAATCTGTGTATTTTTTTCTCGGTCAGTTTTTTTCCAATATTTCGAAATAGAAGGGATTTAGAGATATTTTCGTCAGATCATTTCCCATGGGGAATCACGAGACCCACAAAAAAGGTTCTTATAAAAATATCGCTATCTTCTCTCAATTCCAAGATAATGGCTAAAAACTGATGTAAAAAAAGAGAATTGACCGGACAAAAACTGTTGGGGTAATATCAGGAAAAAATTTCGGGTGTAAATTTTTACAGATAATATTTGAGAGGCGAGTACTTCTGGGATGTACTCTCCTGGTCGGCCTGTCAGCGTCCATCTGGGCAATAGCAATTTGCACCGATCACTGGTACAGCGTGGAATACCCCCACAACACCACTGACGTACAAAAAATCAGGAACCAGGGGCTCTGGAGGTCCTGCGAGAGTGGAGTAAATCGAGAAACATTAGGTTATTACTGTAAGTCACTTGGAAGAGTATCCAAAAAATTTTCTGATCATTTGCATTTTTTTTCTACAGATAATTGCAGCTATAGAGACATGTTTCCAAGTGAAAACGCCATAAATATGGAGGACTTTGACGAAACTGTGCTCAGTGAGTAATTTATCCTTACAGTCATTCGAGATATTTCGAGATCGATTCCCCTCCCCCTTTTTATATTAGAATGAATGATTATTCATTCATTTGCCTGCCGATTAATTAGGAATCCGATTCCCTCAAATGTAATCTCAGAGAATGTGGGGTTTGATAATAGATTTCAGCGTAAAATTCTACTGATTAATTTTGGCGGATTAATTGAACTGAAATGATCGATCTCCTTCGATTTATCATCGCAGGTTATGCGAGAACACAGGGCTCCTTCGCCATCATCTGCCTGATGATCATGATTATGGGATTTTCATTCTCAATTTATACATTTCGAAATCCTAGATACATGTTCAAGAGATTGGCCGGGGGAATTCACTTCATTAGTGGTGAGTTAATTGTATTTTTTATTATGCGGACTATATTTAGTATTTGGTATTTTTGGGGTTTCAGGCGGTATTTTTTGAAAAAGTAGTTGAAAAAAAGTAGTTGAAAAAAATTGAAGACGATTTTTAATTTGTCTAGGCGCCTGTGGAATGGTGGTAATTCAAGTGATCGTATCTTCGATGGAGTACGAGATGAAGAATCTACCTGAAAAATTTCCACAGGGTGCAAGTATGCATTACGGGTATTCCCTCATTCTCGCCTGGTTCGTCTGTATGGGGAACCTCCTAGCCGGCTGTGCCTTCCTCCTCTTCTCGAAGAAACGTAAACGCGATAAAGCACCCACCGAAGAGATAGCGATGGCCGATGAACCGACAATAATCGGTCGTTGATAACGATTTGTCCACCACTCACCTCTCCAAAATTACGATTTTCCACAATAATAAAAAAAATCGAATTGAATTCCCTCCCAATCGTAACGAGAAGTGGAATTTCAAAACATGAAAAAGAGTTACCGATTAATGAGTTAAGGAATAGAGGGTGGAAATTACATTGGAAATAGACTTTTCCCTTTTCTTCTCTCTCTGTGATCGAAAAATTTCCCAGTTGGAATTATTGTCGAAACGAAAATGAAAAGATTGGAGGAAAAATGGAGAATCAATTAATTGAAAAAAAAATCGCAATGATGCCACTGGCCCGATGAATGTACCTGCCCGAGGATCGAGGGAAAGACAATGTACATAAAGATCACACTCTCCTAGAATAAAAATACAAGGTGTGCTTGGACTCCGTGCGAGAACGATAATAATGTGATACATTTAATTGCGTAATTATTGGTAATTCATTTACAAATTCGATAAATCTAATTTTTCTATTCTAAAAAAAAATTTACAGCTTCTTTCAACAGAATTTCACCTATCCATCGACAACTGTCGATCATAAATTATCGTAATTAAAATATTATATACATTATAAATGACGAATCTCCTTGTAGTCTCATGGTGTAATAAAATCATTGAATTTACACGATAAAAGATATTTCAAAAAGTACATTGAACACTGAATTACTGAGGCATCGTCGAGAGCCTCGATCACTCGAACAAATCAGCCTTAAATCATCACATGTCAAATTATCGATGGATTAATTCTACCGATGGTATTTACAAATTTCTCTAGCTACCAGCACTTCTCATGAATTCCTCATACGAATTTCTCAATAAATTCCCGACAATTCAGCAATAAATCCACGAAATTAAATCTTTCAATTGTACGATTATTTTTTCATTTCATAATAATAATTTGAGGTAATCGCCAAGAACTTTGAGCTTTCGATCGATTCACAACTGAATTATCACTTCATTCAATCGTTCCCTCGGGGATCCCCCTTATCTCACGATCAGGGACGATAATACTTCGTTATAATCGGAAAAATTGGCAGTCGATATCGAGTTTGCGTTTCACAGTGAAACAATGGGGCACGTGTCACCGTCGGTGATCCCCTTGTATTCCACTTGGTAATGATTAATCTCATCATCCGAAGTATCTGAAGAGTCGCTCGCAGGATTTTCCACCAGCTTAGCGTACCTGCCAATTAATTTAATCAATCAATGCCTCGAAAATCAATCAAACGCACAGATTAAATTCCATCGAATAAATTGATTCTCAATTTACATTATTGCATTCACTATAGCGAAGTTACATATCTTGAAATATATTTTTCACCGCCCCAAGAATATAGGAAATGCAAATAAAATCAATTTGCCCCGCAAATGAATATTTCAAATTATTTCAGAATACTCCGAAAACCTTTAGATCGATTTTCGGTTTCAATGACCATTTTTTTGCGAATATCTCGGAATCAAGGGCGGCTTCGATCATTTTCGTCTAAACCTTTTTTCTAGAGGTAATCAAGAGGTATATAAAAGATTTTTACAAAAATTTCGCTATCTCCTTCGAATAACGATATATTTATGGAAAAAGGAGATGGAAACTGAATCGATGATTTTATCACTGATTTTTCATATTATAATTTCGATTGGCGGTACCTGACGCTGTATCAGACTGGAGTAGTCCTTCTGAAGGCTTCCAGGGGCCATTCGTTGTTCCTGACAGGAGGTCCAGCAGGAAAAGGCGCGTCTATGTCGAAGGTGACGAACTCCTGGGGAATTCCTGGGCTGCACTCGTCGTGAATGACATCAGCCGTTGTACTTATCTTGAATTAAAAAAACAAAAACAACAAAAAAAATAATAATCTCAAGTTCATTTAACAATTAGTCTAAGGGAAATTCCCTCACCGTTTGTGTAGTGAGATCCCGGGGAAATTGTCCAGGATAATCGTGATAATCGAGACTGGGGGGCGGTGGGAGGAATTCATCGAAATCCATTTGATCCACTGAGTCTCGGCTGAAAAAGTAACGCTTTTGGTGCCTCTCGCAGAGAAAACTCCCGTGGGAATGATGAGGATGGAAGTTCTGGTGGCCCACGTGATTCGCCACGTGGTAGACATTCTAAATAAGGAGAAAATAATTAAAATCGTCAGCCCACTCACCACCTCCCAAATTCCAACCAGCGGAAGAGCACAACTCGAGATTGGCTGAGTGAAATTTAACAAGTCCTATACCATTCTGAAGTCGCCTTCAAGATCTTCAAAATGAGACCTCAAATCGGATCATTGACATCGGGGATATTCACGTTTCAATGAATTCAGCAACGAAAGGTAAACTACTTGTTCACCCTTCGAGTTTCCGCGGAATACCTCTGAATAAAAGTTTTTATAAAAATCTGGTTCCCTCTCTTAGGTTCCGAGATATTCGTGAGAACCGAAAGAGAAGACGTAAAGAGTAAGCAGTCGATTTAGCTAAAAGGTTTCCATGGGGTATCTCTGAATACAAGCGAGATAAAATTGTTCTCTAAACCTCTTTTGTAGAGCAGAACGAGAGCTACAAAAATTACGCAATCTTCCTGAGCTGTCGAGATTTTCACGAAAATTCACCAATTAGCTAAATTGACTTGTTAGAGCCCGAACTTCGGTTATTCTCGTGTCTCTATTGATTTTATAAAACTGAAAAACTGATGGTGAGTTCCACCGAGTCATTAGACACCTCAAATCCATCAGCATTTTCCCTTACATCACAATTTTTCTGCTTAGCGTTTCGCCTGTTGAAATCTCTCTGGTGCCACGATATGTAGAGAAATATAGCGGATGTACCAGCGACTTCTGTTGTGATAAATCCGCTGACGTACAATAGAAATGAGAAACCGTATCTGTAGGTGAACGGTGGCCCCTGAAAAATATAGGATAGAGAATTTTTCATCGGACGACGAGCGAACCATCGAATGAAATAGCGGAATTTTGTACTGCAGTGGAAAATACCTCGAGATAAAAATAAATGGTTCGTCTAAAAAAAAAAAAAAACGGGCGTTCCATCAAATTTCATGCGGGTCGTATCCATAAAGTTGTATTTATTACTTTGATTCACGAGTCCGAAGAGAATAAAATGAATGGATTGTAATCAAATCTTTATGACTCGCGGGTTTTACGGATGAAGTGGACTTTTGCTGACCTGAAAGGACGATTTGGGTCGGAGTTTGCTCCCAACTTCCGCCTTAAATACTGATATGTACATGATCATTCCGACGAGCATGAGAAGACCTGTTGACAAGCAAACATCAATCCGACATTCCAATAATACGGAATCAATATTCGATACGGGAGTTGAACTGGTTTCAATATTTGTCCGTTCCTCTGGTCCCGTGTTTCGGTACAATCGGTTACCCTCAATGTCCCGCATGGGGAACCATTTTCAAGGGATATTCTCTGAAGCTGTTCGAAAGGAGTGATTGCCGCACTGTTCGAAATTTCTAGACATCTCAGAATGACTTTCGGTGGAATTTATATTCAAAACGCGCGCTAAATTCGTCATTTATCCTGAAAATCGAAGAAAATTGGGTTTCTGGGGTTGAATGATCATATGTTTCAATTAAAACTTGAATTTTCGCGGGATTAAACACTCAGGGAAATTATCCATTGAATTTTCTGGAATTGGAATTTATTGGAAATTTTGAGTGTAATTTTCCAACAGTGCAGAAAAAATTCTTTCGCTTCCAAAATTTTTATTATTTATATAAAATATTATGTTACCATTATCAATATAACATTTATTATGATATATTATGTTTATAAAATACAAGGCAATTATTTATGGCTCCACAATTTTGGATTTTGGGAATTACCCAAAAATCTGGTGTTATTTCGCGAATTTTTTTACGCATTTCCATGAAAAATTCACAGGAATGCGGAAAAAATGCTAGTGCAATTTTTTCGGCTTTGGGAGCGAGAAGAGAACGTCGGGAACACGATGATGGGGTCATTTAGAGTCTTGGGGGGAATCTTTTGGGTGAAGAAGGCTTTTTCGTAGTCAAGAGGGGCTTTCGATGCATTTACTTACCGCATACAGTGAACACCACTCCGGCCACAAAAACGCACAGACGATGTCGGGGCCGATATACATGAGCAGTGAAGTAACAAACTTCAGCTATTACGAGAAGTACTGTTGCAGCGAAGAAGAAGATGGCAGACTTGGTTACAGCGTCTGCACGAACAAAAATCCCTTGACTCTAAGAAATTCATTAAAAAATCGTAAATTCCCGCAGAAATCCCCTCTAACGATTTCTTGTCAATCAACCCGTGTCAATTGACACAATCCAACGATTTTTTTATTCAACTAATAAATTAAAATTAATGATGCAATCAAATTCCGAACGGGAATTTCACATGATTTTTTTTACATCATTTTGGATACCGATTTTGCTGAAAATGGTCAGTTTTATGAAAAAATGTCAAAAGGCACTTTTTGTTGAGAATTTATTCAGCTATGAAAAAGTCTCTACAGGTTTTCACCTCAGATCGATGGTTATCGAGATAACTCGATGAGTGATGGGAAAATGTGAGTTATCGGATTTTGATAATTCGCGGGGAATTTTTATTAAAATTGGGGAAAATTTGGAGGTACTCACAGGGTATCGCCATTGTGGAATCACTAGGGTCTGGAGTGTACTCCTCACTTGGAAAATAATCGATGTTTTTGCACTTGTACTGCATAACTGATGCTGCAAGTAAAAAATACAATCTTTCCAGTCAAGTGTCCGAGTAGAACGGGTTTATATCACTCCGTAAAATAGAACAAAAGGCATTTAGTATGTGCATACGCGGAGAAGAATGAAAAATGAATTCACGGGTTGAACCAGTGGTTCGCAGGAAAATGCTGGGTCATGATCTGGTGAGATTTATGCCCCAGAGCCCTGTGAATTTCGATGGGGCCTTTTTATGGGGCTTTTTTTTAAACAAAAAGTTGCGCTACGGACGGCACATGAAGTGATTATTAAATTCACGAGGTACTCCCAACTTTATCGCCAACTGCCATTGATAATTCATTCACTGGATAAGAGTTCACTCACGAAATGTAATGGAGAAATTTGTAATTGATGCCGAAAAATTTTCCGCAGAAAATATTCCAGTGATTTTTGTTCCAATCTCTCCAGTAACTCCCCGCGGAATATCTCGAAATTGAAGGGAGATATCAAAATTTGTCGTAAAACCTTTTTTGCAGGTTTCATTTTGCTCTAGAAAAAAGGTCCTAATGAAAATAACCCTAAAATAACGGTATGTCTTCTAAATTCGGAGAATTCGATTTTTATTCCGTGAATTATCGAATTTCACTTGTCAATTTTTCTTTTTGAAATTGAGTAATTCATGGGGATTAATTACAATGGCTGCAAATTAACGTAAAACATCGGAAATATGTTTACTGTTCTTTATTCCGTATGAACCGAGAAATGGTTTATATTGCGCCACTCGGGGCGTATGTATTCACATTATCTGGAAAATGTTTCTCCGGTGGGTTTTGGTATACAGCTGCACCCCAGGTACTCTCGTTACATACCCCCAAGTACTTTAGAGAGCTGTACCATGTGCGTCTGGGAATAATGCTTCATGTAGCCGCGTGTTGACCATACGTGATCCGAATACTCCGTAATTGTTAAAAAGAAAAAAAAATGAATCAACAAGAAAATTCAAATAATTGTCTGAAGCACCTTGAGGATGTTACCCCTTATTATTAAAATAATAATAATAATTATTCCAATAAAAATATCGGGATTGTGCAATAATGATAATAATGAATGAAAATGCAAACATATTATTTGAAAACTCGAAAAAAATTGCGGAAAATTACGGAAAGTAGTGGGAAATTGATCAATTACTCTCACATTTTTCCGGAGAAGGTTTTCCTTGAAGTAATCAATAAAAATTACGGAATAGCCCATAAAAAATACCCCATTGCGCACCGGAATTACGAGAGATACGGAATTTTTATTGGAAATATATTTTTGTGAGATTCGAATCTTGGGGATTTTATTATGAAATGATAAAAATGATAAAATGGGGGTGGAGTGTCTCGGCGATTTGTTCGGGCTATTGGGGCAGTGGAGGGAGAGAATTTGATGATGTTGATACGAGATATATCAGAGGAAAGATATGAAACTCTCGTTACTTTCACGTTTTTTCCGCCACTTTTTGTGGTTTTATTATTTCAACGTTCTCCGGCCTGAGAAATATTCGTTAAGCCCTTGAGAGTTTGAATTCAGAGAATTTCGACGAGAATAATTATGAACAATTGATTCATCGCGAATTCTTCAATGCGGTAATTACTGTTCAAGGACTATTCGTATATTCCGAAATTACTCCCATTTTTGCTCGCATTTCAACGGATTTTTAATTAATTGGATTACTTTTTTTAATAATTTTCCCAGTGTTTTCTCCTGGATTTTTAATTACTTCTCCCCTCCTCGTAATTATCAAGTAATTATACTACGCATGTGGTATTTTATAATAAATCTCATATTTTCATTCAGAAAATTAAATGTTTAATTAATTCCCCTCGTTTTTCCCTCGCAGATTATGTTGAGAAGTAATTTTTCCACTTTTTTCTCCGGAATTATTATGAAATTCATTCCTCATCCGCGAATTGTTGAAATTTCAAATTAAAATTTAATTAGTTCTTCATTTACAATTTTTTTTAATTTCCCCATGCGGATTACATTTTTGAATAATTTTTCCAGTGCGTCAGAAAATTTTCATTGACATTCCACTCCACTTTTTTTTTTCATAGGTCGTAATTATTTAAAACATGTGGTAAATTGTTGAATAACCAGAGGAACAGTACAATATCGAAGGGATTCCCATTCGAATTGAGAGGAAGCAGGATGAGGGTTGTTAAGGAGTTCAGTACACAGTCATTTCCCGGCGGCTTCGGAAGCCATTGAATTCCATCTCTCTCGAGTAATCGAATATATCATCGATAGATCGAGCCGTACGGTATCAACTGTCAGATATTCTGAAATATTCCTGAAAATTATTGCCCGTTATTCCCTATCAACCACAGGATAATAAACAATTTCGTCGAATAAATATACCGCCCAGGAGATGAGCTCTCTTTATTTTATTCTACTTTCTCGATTATAGGTCGTCGGAGCGGAATTCGATTGCCACTCTGGCACTCACGGAGAGGGGAATTTTTAATTCGACATTTTTTTCTTTTTCTCTTTTCGATTTGTCCTCGGGACGTACTTTCCTGAGTGAGCATCGACTCATCCTCTTCGCAGGTTTCTCATCCCACTTTAATTCTTTACCTCCATCTCTCACTCCGGGAGGAAGACAGGAGTGGTTTCCGGTGCGCCTCGTAACGAGTCATTTCCTCGTCCCCGCGACCACTTCTCCTCCTGAGCCACTTCGACTTTTTCACCCGCTCCTACCCCCCGACCGCCCCCATCCACCCCCTCAATTGCTCTTTTTTCCTGACGTACGGGTAATACCGTTTGCCCTTTTTAGCCCTCACCCTCAGGACCGATAAGAAATCCAGTGAAATACTCGGATTTTTGAAAATTTGCTTGTAAAATATATTTGAATAGTCAGGGAAGTTCTTCAGCTTTTTGGAAAGATCTTTGGAGCTGTGGGGAATCAAATGTCAAGGAAAGGGGGTATGCGGGGGCATTAAATTGTCAGAATGAAATAAAGGATTTCGCGAGGAGTGAGATAAAATGCGATCGTTTATCTAGTTGGATAAAAGGGTGAAATTTTCGTCGTAATGGTATGGGATAACTCACTGTTGGCAATGCAGACCCTCCAAAGGCCACTGTAAGTCACTTTACTGTCCGGTTCGGCAGTTAGGTTAGCTGAAAAATCTTTCGGCAGCCTTTCCTCGGTTAAGAGCCACTCACCCGTACCAATAGCAATCGAAACTATCACCAGTGATAAAATCGCTGAGATTCCAGATGCAATGGCCAGACTGTTACCACTGCTCCTGGATGGGCTTGCACCACTGAAGCCCCCGATAACGTGTTCTTCCGGCTTTTCGTTGCAGCAACTCGAGCAGTTGTACCAAGACATCACGAACAACTGATGTACCTTCGTCGGTGCATTCCTGTATTTCTATTTTTTTTTCGGGAATTGCACAAAATTTTCATAATTCAAATTTTCAAAATTTCAGAAAATTGCACAGACAACAATTATGGGTTAAAATTGTAATTGCAACTGGAATTGTTTTAATTAAAAATTAAAAAAAAATATAAAACAATTCGAAAAATTTCGGAAATCCAGAAACCCGAATTTATGTAATTTCAGTCCTGAATATTCCGTAAAAACACAATAAAATAATGAAAAAAATAATTGAATCAATAAAAAAATGGCAAACCTCGGAATACATTGGCAAGACCAGATTGCCTCCGCGATTCCAAACCTTTTAGATAAATTCGTAACTTTTTCGTGTAAATAATTCACTTTACCCCCCAACAATGGTTTTCCAATTAAAGCACTCGACAATATTGAAACGCACTCAACCATTAATACACACCGGTGGAATTAATATTCTCGATATTTTCCAATCAAACACTGGGGGATGAAAATGCTAATACACAGTCGTGTCCTGAATTTATGAAATTGATTGTCACGAGACTGGAAACATCCCTCGGCAAAACGTCGGCAAAATGTCGGCAAAATATCGACAAACAATGGGTACATACTTGGATGCACGTCACGAGCTGATGTCTAATATATTCCCAGTGAATTCCCGACGTTGTTTCCAGTTGTTTCTGGTTTCTCGTTGTCCAGGTGTTCCAGCGAATGCCTGGAATATATCCGGAGAAGAATGCCCACCTATTATCGTTATGCACACCCAAAAGCTCTCGAAATCTCGGCGATTGTCCCTTCAACGTTCCACTTTTAGTCTACGACCTAGGATTATCGGAAACGTCTACATTGAATTGCATTCCTCGGTGCTACTCCTCGTGACTTTCTTTATACAGTGAAAGGAGAGAATTATCAGCCACCAGACATTCCGGTATATCAACTACTCCTCATTGTCCTGGAAAAAGCCAAGGACCCGAGCTTAATTCATCATTTTTACCAATTGTTCACATGACAGAATAAAAATTGACTCGTAATTCCGTTATCTCTCTAATAAATCTCCGGATAAATTTCCAAAATAAATTTCAGTCGGAGCTAATGAATTTTCACTCGACAATTCCAAATGTCACTCGATTTTTTCATTCAATTCAGAACCGCAAAAAATTTCGCCAAATTGTTCATCAATAATAAAAAATGTTGAAAAAAGTATTCACGTAGAAAAACGGTTTGAATTTGAGTTTTGATGGGTAAGACCTGAGTAAGAAGTCTGGAGCTTTCAGTTGGCCATTTACCTGATTCAACTTTTTTTCTCCTCCGGAGGATTGGCATTGGTGGGATTATCGGGACTTGAGCTCTGACCGAGGTTATCGATCCTTTCGGTCTTAGCTGGTTACGCGGGTCACCAGGATTTACACCCTATATACAACAGGCCCATTAGAAAAGAGGGGAAAAAGCCAGAGTGAAATGAGAGGATAAAATTGAAGGGGCTGCCACGTTACCTATCAATCACTCGAGTGATCGATGTCACGTGAAAAGCCTCTGGGAGTCACTCCTCCGGTCTTTATCCTCTTCGGGGGAGTTGGAAGAAATTCACCGTGACTCTTTGACGTACCTTGCAATAAACCTCATGTATATATGTACTTGCCTTCTGGGTATTACCGAGTGTCACAGTCACTTGGGCTGTACCACACGCGCAGGATTCTACTTGCGGTCGATGCCAAAGTACTGTAATATGTCGCATAACTTTTCACAACAACTCCGTACTCCAATGAATATTGTTTAGTTGCTGGAGTTTATTCTCCGGAATTACCTTCGCCTTTCTCAAAACACTCCTTCCCCTCCGCCCTCGGAATCCATCGCCAATCATTTTTTTTTTTTCAATTATTCCTGTCGCGAAGAAATTGCTATTCGTTATTCTCCGATTGATAAAAATTACGTGCCTTTTCCGTAATTCTGGAGGGAAATGTGGTTGGAGAAATTTTTACGGTACTCTCACGTAATTTTTATCTGAAGTCGCGAAATTTTTCTGCGGTTTTTCATAATTTTTATCTGAATTATGTGTGATAAAAAATAAATTGTGATACCGTCACTTGAATTTTTCGAGTCGATTCTGTAATCGATGAGCAAATTGACAGTTCCGTAATTTTTCCTAAATATTTCTCCGTGTAGAGCATCAATTGTGCGGTGTAATTACTTCGTAATTATAAATAAAAAGAGAATACTCTTGAATCCATGACGGATGAAATGAAATTGAATAAAAATAGAGGACAATTGGCGGAATTTTGAGTGAACTTTTGAAGATTTCTGAATAACATTGAATAAATTAATAAAAATTATAATTAAACGACAATACTTGATATAATTATCAAGGCATCAATTGCGAGATTCTCCCGCATTTGAAATTTACGAGAGGAAACTGTCGATGTGTGAGGATTAACTCTGCCGTGAGTTTTCGAGACGTGAGGTATTATTTAACTAGACGTCACTGGAAACAATTTTCCTAACCACCATTGAAAGCTCCACTAATTACGAATCAAATCTGTAGTGCACGTAAGCTCAGCAATATGCATGGTTAAATCTAAACATAGGTAACTCTAATTGCAATCAATTCCAGGTGCCTCGTTAACGTGACAACGAAATTAAGGGCTCCATTAAATTACAGAAAGGGCGGCCTTTGTTGGGGAGTCTCTCCTGATTTCCACGGGTATTTGCGGATTGCGCGTCTCTTCTGGAAGTCCTCTCCTGGGAGAAACAAATTTATCTCACGTTTTCACCGAATTTTTCCCCCGAAAAGTCTCCCAACGAATATTAAAATATAAAATACCGCGGAATCGAGGAGAATGGAAACATTTCGACAAGAAGCGGAACATAAATAGTAGATTCAATAAATTGAAACGAGTTAGTGTCGGAGTAATTAAGAAGTCCGGAATTGACGAAACTGCGGTATAAACAGAACCCCCATTCCTCATTTAGAAGATACACAGAGAACTGGAGTTGGTTTGTATCAGAATTCCTCAACTACACCGCAATTTCAAGAGGAAAACTCGAGTTAAACACACGGCAGATTTTTCATTCTATTCGGCGAAACGAGACTAAGCATTAAATTCGGTATACCGTGGAGTTGAACGAATTTTTGGTATCGTGTCACCTCAATCCTCGGAAATAAATTAACTTCCTGATGTTTTGTAAAATAGAGCGAGGATAAAGTCACGGGTAGGAGAGAATTAATGCGACTTCAAAGGCTTTTCCAGGGATATTTCCTTTCATCCTCTTACAAGCTCACTTCTTAGGGAATTCCACCTCGAAATTCACTCGGGAATTCTTCCAGTCTCGAGTTCACGCCCCACCGCTTGAATTTTTCATGGGAATCAATTAAATTCACCATTTCTCTGTGCCAGACCCTTTATTTGGGGAGAAATTAACGAGAGATTCATGAGACGATTTAATGCACAACAGCATGGAAAATATTAAGAAAAAATTCCACACAATTGCACGAAAATTTCACAATTCCATTTCTGAGAGATGTGTAATTGTCTCGTTACTTTTTTTTTTATACAGAAGTTTCAACAATTTTTATGAAACTTATGAATTTTTTCTCTTTAATTCCGCTGAATCCGCCAATTGTTCGGGATACGGTAAAATCGAACAGAAATTCAGCCAGCGGATCTTCGCTCGCGGATTATATTTCAAAAACGTAATTACTAAATCGTTAGAAATTTCTGGAAATTTCAGCCAGAGATTCATTCGAATTTCCAATTATTTCCCATTTAATTCGATTTCAACAAAATTTCACTTTTATCTGTAAAATTCAATAAAATTATATTTCTTATATTAAACAATTATCAAGAATTACCAGAATATTCAACAAATGACTTCATCCCTCAATTAAACATTTCGTATATTTTATAAAAAATATCCAGTGTAATTCTGTTGAATTGTAAATTTCTCCTGATAATTTTCATCAGAATTTTCCTCCCCGTGCAATTGAGTTTGAGAGATTTTCTCAGGCGAAGATGAAAAGTTTGTGCTTTACGATCGTGCCGGCCTCATTAGAATTTTTTTATTACCCATTAGGGGGTAAAAAAATCACTTTGGCTGTGCCCTGGATGTAGCCCAGCTCGTTATCAAACTCTTAACGACTTGCCCCGATACAGTGGAACATCCAAGATTGAACGATACGATATGACGTCCTCGAGGAGAGAATCGCGGGGTCAAGGGTCTCGATTATTCTCGTGTGGACAAAGGGATGAAATAAAAATAGTGGAAAGTTTACTAGCCCAAAGGGTGCATGGAAAGAAAGTAAACGATGCTGAGACGTGTGGGATTACGACTTCCTTCTTATGCCCCATGAATTGCAAAAGCCTCGACGTTTATATTCAAAGATTCTCCTCTCGTTGTCCTGTCCTTTTCTTTTTCACTCCCTTTGTCTTCCCTCAATGCAACGGAACAATGACTACTCTTGCACCGAATCACGATTTTTTTTTTTTAATAAAACGGAAGTGGTTTCAACTTTTTCGCGATGGAAATTCGTCGGGCGGGGATTGGGAGCGCCACAGCTTTTCTTATTTCTTTATTTTTTTTTATTTTTCATATTGTTTTTATTTCTCATTCATCCCCCGAATCAGCTTTAATTTCCACGACTGAATAGCACCCCAGAGGCATTAAAAAAAATCGCCGATTAATCCGCGGATGATATCAAAATGATAAATAGAATAACGACGATTTTCCCTTTTGAATTGAAAACGTGTCATACCTGGCACATCCCCTGGATCATTGTGTTGCGGTTAAATCCACCCCCACACGAATCCATAAATACTTTACCGCGCGCTTTGTTATATCATCGTCCTATGAACCAACAAAGGACACCAAAGCCGTCGCCTCGCACATCCACAACCCCGTAATATCGCGCGTTACATCAAAGGTTCATGATGCACATGCAAATTTCACGGTAAATTGATCAAAGCCAAGACTAAAAAATAATCTAATAAACTTTTATCAGGCGCGTGATACCATAATGTGCAACACGCGGTGGCAAATACAACAAACGCCACGAGACACCTGCCACGAGACCCCTGCCACGAGATACCGACGTTATCCCAACACCTGAAAAAAAAAATCCCCCAAATCCAAATGAGGGATAAATCCCCCAAATCCAAATGAGGGATAAATCCCCGAAAAAATTCAATAAAATGGATAAAACATCTTACCGATTACCGAATAATTCATTCACATTGTTTACGTCATTCACAATCACATGCACTGACTCCCGGGGAAAAGAGAAATTCCTGGGGGATTCAATTCATTCCGATTTATTTCGACGATTTATTGGACGTGGGGGGCTGATGTTTTTTTTTTTCTTTTGGAGGGCACATCGGTAATGAATGTTGTTTCAACGGGGCAGTGTGTACGACTGGCGGTCGACGCCCGGTCTCCGGTTGGTTTTCTACCGCCACTACCACTGGCAAATCCACCACCACCAGGACTACAACTTGGTGGGGGGCTGTTTCCAAATGCCCTGCAACCCCCCCTTTTAACATCCTGGGGCGCCATCTGCGCGCACCCTGAAACGCACGACAGTACTGGCGTTATAACGTTATCATCCCCCAGTCGTTGGGACGATTCTCTCACGCGCAAGTCCAATGATTTTCCACGTCTTTCCACTCACTTGTAAATGTGCACAACGTCAACCCCGAGGGCTTGCCATCCCCTTTTTTTTTTTTTGTCTTTTTTTGAGGGGTCTTTTTTTGGACGTTACGGGGTGATAATTTCACACATCTCGGGAGCTTTTTTTGGCGCGAGCTTTTGTCGCGAGTCGCAGTATGGACGGGGAGAGTTTCTGGTTTTTTCAATTTTTAAGGGTTTTTCAAATTTTTTTATGAGGTGTTCGTCGACAATTTGATGAAATATTTTCTGGTTTGAGATTTTCGATTTTATGGGGAATTGTTGGGCGGTGTTTTTAATTTTATTGGGTAATTAAATATCTTTTGGGTAATTTTTGGTATTTGAGATTTTTTCGGGAATTGTCATTGTAGTCATAATTATTCGATTTGGCGAATGAATTCCAGCAGAGTCAATGATTAATGAATTCCGAAGGGGATTATTCTTTTTTTGCGGCATGTTTTCTGACAGCTTTAATAGTTCTCTTCTCCGACAATCAATTAGAGCCAGCCGAAGAATGCAACTCCTGAAAACAAGAGATAATTCGAACGATTCAATATAAGTAAACACTCTTTGCTGGATTAAGAAAGTTGAATCGAGTTTTAACTCAAGCATTCGGGAAAACTCTGAGAAAAGTGTTCTGGCAACGGTAAGCCGAGACTTTTGTTTGAACAGTATTGTAACAATACCTGATCTACAATTAAGAGAATACGAACGCAGAAAGATTGTTATCAAATATTAACAACAGTAAAAGCTTCCACAAATGATCAAACTCTCATCTCTACTCATCCCTCATCTCCCAGTACAAGCAAATAAATTTCTCACGCAAATTTTTAGATCGGATTTTTTTCTTTCATCTCTGAAGAAATATTAATAATTCCTAATTATTCATAATATAAATCAACAAATATATAAATAACCAGAAGTTATCCGCATATAAAAAAACAGAAAGGGAATCGATCTGGCAATATCTCGGACGATATTCAGATATTCAGATATTCAATAATTAAATAAATCAATTTTTATTAAATACCATTACCATTTCCCACCATTCCAATATTAACATGTGTATTTGTAGTGAGTTAATAATTATATTTGGCTACCCGTTAGATAGTGACTGGAGTTAGAATTGTCCATCTCCACCAGTGGCCAAGATTTTCCGTGAATGCGTCCTCGTCATTCCGTTAGTCATGTCCCCCCTGAAGGCGCAGCCCCGTCATCTCACTCCCACCACCCATCATGCGCTCCCACCATCTCCCTCTTTCTCATGGTCACACCACGACCTTCTCCCCTCCCTCATAGCCTTTCCCCCTTCGGCACAAACTGTTCGGATACTATGGCACACCAGGAGTAGCCATACTGAATTTCACCACACTTCTTTATCCAGTGTCGCAGTAACTCTCACACTGAATGGATCGTTTACACGCGGCAAATACGCACTCGGTAAGTTTCCATACATTCCCCACTGACATAATTATATATTCACCAAATATCATCACTTTCCATCAAATCCATATAAATACCCACATATTTTAATTTATTAATTGCTTCTTACTCAATAATTTCGGAAAGAGAGCGCTGATGGCTTCCATTTTTTTTTGGATTTTGTACAGTAAAAAATATAAAACCATACACAAAGCCAATAAATTATATGTCCATGTAAATATTAATTATATTATTTGGGAATATAGAATATATATATATGGACGCGAAAGAAATAAAATATATATAATTGATTTTTATGAAAATACTTTGTCTCTAAATTTCATTAATTAATTTCATTTGGGTTTATTACGTGAAGAAAAAATATATGGTGATATAAATGAATGAATATACGGTAGGAAGACATGAAATCGGAGAGGAATTCGAGAGATAAATGATTCAGGAATTCAGAATGGAGGAGTTAAACATTGAGTCGAGCATTTTATTCTGTTCAATCATTACTTATTAGGTTGTGACGTCTGATTGATTCTGTGTCACCTTGCGATATTTTATTTATAGCAAAAATGGAATTTTTTATCAATTTTTATGAGAATTCCTGGGGAATATAATGGATGGAGTGGATTTATTGGAACCGATTGGATCCCATGTGGGATTGATTTTCGTGTTGGTTAGGGTATGGGCTGCCCAGCTGTTTCTCAAGTTTCGAATGAGCTGCGGTTTCTCGCGCAATGCGTCATTCATTCCTAGATCTGTCATCCGCTCGTTCGAATTTAATCTATAGGAGTAATTAATTTTATAATAAATCATAAAGATATGTTGAATAATTTCAATAATTGATTGATATTTCCATGATTTATATTTATGATTTGAAATTTTGATGTCCGGTGATTTATTGAATTATGATTTATTACTCGTTTTTTTCACTTGTTTTCGAAAATTTCGCAATTGCATTCCCGTGTGGTTTACAAAATACATCAGACCCTCATTAATTCGCTAATTCAATGACGTTGATGTATTAAACGTCGCAATTGGGTGTCGGTTGGTTCATTCGATTGGACACCACCGTCACGGGCCATCGGAGAGTCATCTCGATTGATCGATATGTGCATTGGCAAAGTGTCACCATCGATTGACCCACGTCAAAGCCCCATCATCGATTGTTACCTCGTCAGGAGGTGACGTCTCAGGTGACGTCTTCGTATCGCTTTTCCATCATCCCGGGAAAAATTACTCTCGGACGTCAAATTAAATCGCGATGAAAATCTATCGACCGCTATCATTCTCTGAATTATTATAACCGATCGCCGCGAGAAATAAATGCGCCGCAATTCGTCTGACTCATTCACATTGCGCACTTTTTTTCTCGTATTCTTCACTCAAAATTTTATAAAACGACGAAAAAAATAAAATCGTTAAAATCTCATTTGCGTGATGTGAAAATTCCCGTTGGGAAAAAAACAGAATTTTTTAATTGCGATTCATTTATCCCAGAAATTCAATCTCGAAGTTTCCTGGCGGATTACAACAATTATGCGTCATCTCGGTTACGTGAGTAGCCAAGTAATTTTTAAAAAATTTTTCTTTTGTCATCGTGTTCTGCTTTCATGAACATTCATGAAAGTCAATATTTACCGGTCAACACCGGGTGTTGTATTCCACGGGGATATTGCCAAAAATTATTACGCACTCGTGACGAGCTGACGCTGTGATTTTTCGTTTAGACACGCGTTTGCAAATATTTACGGAATGAAAATGTGACGTAATGAAACGTCAAATGTTGATATTATCACAGTCTCAATCCTTTATGACTCCTTCCTCTCCTCAATTTACTTCAAACATTTGATCTACGATTAAAATAACAATCAACAAATACCAACCACTCCATAACCCGTTTTTCATCCACAATCCAATAATTAATGGACAAATATTCAACTAAAACGTTAGCCAAGTAATCACAATAAAAAATTAATCAACGAAATCAATCCCCAAAATTGGAAAAATCCGGAAGGTTTCTTCTGATTATCTCCCAGAAAATTGATAGCGTAATTACTCAATGAGTACTTCAGTACTCAAGCGCATGGATTTTTTTTTCAACAATTTTTCGCGTTTATTTATCTGCCATCGGAGTACACATCGTTACATATGAAACAGCCTTTCGATTTATCCAACCCACGATCTCAAGAGTTTTCCATCGAAGGTCATGCAGTTTCATTACATTAAATTGGCAAAGTCCCGACTTGGCTTCCTCCTGAAATAAAAATCGTTTTATCCTTCAAGATAATGGAGAGAACTTTGTGGATTGGTGTTTGGGGGCTTCTGTTGTGCTCCAGCATTGTCAACGGTGTACCATACTCGAGTAAGTACATTATTTTCAACACAATGCATCCTCACGAAGTGCCCAAATGGACGGTATACGGTAGTTTGCACCACTCAAATTCATTTGTGTTTGTGTAAATGGACTCAAGTCGACGGTAAGAATAAATTGGCAATCTACCGTCCGCCAGGGCTCTATTTATATCTTCATTTTCCATGTACACGCCTCCTGCACTCGGATTCACATTAACTATTATTCTATGTAGATAATTTTCAACCGCTATTATCTACCATAAACAACACTATTTTAGGTTGTTTATGGGCAAATACTGATGGATGTCTGTTCCGATGGGAATCACCTGTTGCGGGCGTGATTGTCTTGCAATTAGCGAATTACCTAATACTCCGCTGTTGGTATTGGACATGGAAACATTATTTATTAAAAAAAGGCACTTGATGTTAGGATAGCCTAATGAAACTCACTGACTCATCAAATTATTTGTCAAAAGAGGAAAAATTGAAGTTGAAAAAAATCAATCCGCGAATTCAATAAACAAAAAAAATTTGATACACCAGTTTTTAAGCAATATCTCGGAATTGAAGGGAGATCACGATATTTTCATACCTATCTTTTTTATAGCTCTCATCTTTTTCTATAAAAAATATTTAGACCAAAAATTTGATATGTACGTTTGATTCTGAGATATTGGCAAAAAATTTTCTCAAAATTTATCAGATAAAATCATGAATGATTCAATAATCTCCAATACATTGAATTTCATAAATAAACAACATTTTTTCAATAATAAAAAAAATCTTGATTGCTCAAGCACTCAATATTTTTTCTCCCAATTTTTTGCTGATAGATTTTTTTTCATCGCTCACCCTTGCCATGGGGTATTTTTCCTGTGGGAGTAATAATTTTTTTCTCCCATGCTCGATTGCATTCTCGCAAAAGGCAACAGCCACCTACACCCTATTGACCTTTATCTTGTATTCGACGAACAGAGCCGGTCATTTTAATGTCAGAATTCTCGATATAGACCATCGCATCGGTTTTAATAATACCAATAATCGATACTCTCCCAACGAGTGTTGAAATACAATTACTATTGAGTCAATGCTGATGGAATTACCGGAAGTTAAAATCCCCCGACGCCTTTAGCGTAGAATTTAGCTGCTCTGGTGAGCAATTTATGGGGGTGGATGATGGGGAATAAAAAAAACAGAGGTCAAACGAATAAACCAATGACTGATATATTTATCATTCCAGGGTAAAATGAGCTAGTCATATAAAAATGGTGTCAATGCATTTTTCAGTTCACTGGGCATTTGCAGGGCGTAATAAGCCTCTGTGTTCTTTTTTTAACTTTTAATATCTACTTTGGTGAGGGAAAAAGCTCGCAACCGAGCTTAAAAGCACCAACGCTCAACAGAACAGTTAAATGCACATCTACATGAACGAAACTCTCTTTAACGTTTCATTGTGCATTCTCCGGAAAATGTCAGGGCGTAAAAGTTCGTAATGACTGTTTTGTGTTTCTTCGTTTGGTGTCTTCATTTTTTGGGCGTTCTGTCCCTTTTAGTGGATGATGATTTACTGGACTCCCGAGGAATTCAGGGGTTGGGTCGTTTTTTTTTTTACAGAGTATGGCAGGAGCTGCAAGGATATCGGCTGCAGGAGCAATGAAATTTGTGTTATGGCTGAGGATCCCTGCACCTATGAGTCAAGGGACAGGTGTGGACGGTATCCCACTTGCACCAGGAATGGGGCTGCTGGTGAGTTGAAAAAAAATTGGGACTGAAAACAGTTTTACACTCGTTTTTAATAAATAATTACCTATTACTTATTTTTTGCAACAATATTTACCCTAATATTTTGATTAAGGCTATTTCTTCATCTCGAATTCATCAGCCTCCCAATAAAAATTCTGATATTTTTTCTGAAGGCTAATATTAGAATAAATAAAATTAGAAATTTTTCTCGATGTAACGAATGAGTAAAATGCGATGAATGGAATTTTATAATTTATTTATATACATATTTATCGATTTTTAATATGAATTATAAAAAGGCATACACGAAGATAATATTGGATATATCGTTATATATTTTATTGATCGAATAAATAGAGCTCCAAAAGCTAGTCTTAATGAAAATATGAATGAATAGTAATTGCATATCTGGCTCCAGGTGGATTGAGCTGCACAACTCTAGTTTGCCCCAGCGGGCAATACTGCAAAAGCATTGATGGACACGCAACTTGTGTCAACACAAACTCCAATATCGGTGAGTAATAATAACCCAGAATGAGTACCGAATGTACCGATGTATGCGATTGTGCCTCAACTATCCCAGTGTTATCGCACGGAGTTGAACTCCACCATCCATTCATTCATGAATAACAAAAAAATTCGATTGGAAAGCGGTTGGAGGTAGTTGTTATGTTTTTCACATGGCATGAGTGAAAAATCGTGTTGACAGTGGTTGAGGAATAGATATTTGGTTACGGATATTTCCATTCAATTTATTTGAGTCCTGGGGATGGGTGAAAATGTACGTAAATGGTGGAGTTATTTTTATTCACTTAATCCGACCTCTCGTCTATTTACGTAAAAGCCTGAATGATCCCTCAGCCAATCCCCTTTCATCCAGGGTCAGACGAGATGCTCCACATTTTTCCACTTGCAACAATATGATTATATATTGACTGTGTACATGGTGGCATTTTCCTGGTAAAACTTTTCAACACTCTAGATCACTGTCTCATTCACTCCTCTGACACTCGCCTAGTCTCTGCACTCTCCATTTTTCTGGTGATAGCATAAAAGGAATATTTACTTTACCCTGGGTGGTTTGGTACTCACAGAACAGATGGTTATGGGCGCTTTACTGGTGGAAATGCCAGGGGAGATTGATTTTCCGCTGCTTTCACAGATTTTTTCAGGAGTTGTGTGTCAATATGCGTTAGCTTTATGGCTAGAGTTATCTCGAATCACAATAGTGGCTCCACAATTTTTCTCGCTCTGAAAATTTGGGGATATCCAAGCCGTTCAAAAAATTCGAGTTTTTTACTATTCATTCCAGTTGAATGCATCGATGCAAATTAATCAATTAATCAAAATGCATTTCTGACAATGAGAAAATGAAAATTTATCATGGAATCATTTCTGCTTTTGCACTGAACTGCTTGTGTATCCTTAAATTCTCTTTTCACTTTTCGAAACTCTCCCCGATATTAACAACTCAATTATTCCCTGAACTTCACGTTCCGGTTGTGTAAAACTTTAAACATCCTACAGCTTCCTCTCCCCGGTTGTCTTTTGAATAATACGTGACTCCCGCTGAAGTTGTAATTAACAATCATTTGAAAATCGGTATGAAAATGGTGTGGATCCGTAGCATGCAGCTTTCGAACACGTTGCACTGACCCTCGATGTACCCAATGCACTGACGACTATTTCCTCATGAATCCCAATATTGAGGGGTCAGCAACGACATCCAGGATGTCACTTTGAGGGGAAATAGATTGGAAAACAGCCAGATTTTTTCAGGATACGAGTCAGCTGGTGTCTCATCGATAAATGGACAACCCACGAATGCAGATCAGAGCCACGGATCATCAAGTTCAAATTACAATCCATATTCAAACGCTAATGCACCACCAGATCCCAGTCACGACAGCAACTATCATACCGTGAATTCAGCAAATAATAATGGATATCCTCAGTACCCCAGTACATCTGGAAACTCTGGTTATGCTGGCTATCCACGGCCACCTTCATCAGGATCAAATCTCGGATATCCACCGTACCCAACGCAGAATCGCATGCCCCAACCTGGTGTCTATCAATCTGGCCAGTACCCAGCTGGCAATTATCCGGGCTATCATAATAATCAGCAGCCAGGACATCAGTACCCAAATTACCCGTTCAATCAAAATCCTTACATGACGCATTCGCGGAGATACAATGGAGCCGCTTCACAATCACCGGAGATTCTTTCCTTGTGTTTCGTCAGTCTTCTCCTAGTCACCGTTAACACCTACCTGTCATGAAGAATTCATTAGAAACAGCGAATAAATTTCAATCGACACACCTTTTTATTTTGTCAGACTGCGTTACAGGTCCAATCGTGAACACTCCTCATAACAGCTGTGGCATGTACCCCATGGAATTGAAAATTTTGTAAGATTATTCAATTTGCACTGAAAAGGGGCTGCTGTAATGAGTGGTGAATACTCTCCCGTGAAATAGCCATTGGAGATGGACCAATCATCGATATCGATCTGAAATCACCCACATCCGGTTGTAACTGTATTTACCTGTTCAAATATTAAACCCTCGACGGAGCTCTCTAACAGACGGAGAGGCGAATGCGATAAATAATTGTCTGATTAGACTGTTCACGGATTCAAATCAATTTTGCATTCTAATATCGATCATGCATGTTCATTTCGGTGGTAACTCAGGCGTTGGTGGAATTGTTTCATTCACGTACTCCGTCCCGATTTATCTCGCAGGTTTAACTGATGGCGATTTTTTTTTTCGAATATTGGGTTTTATTTCTTGAGAACGGATGTATGCGAATCATTCGATCAATATTTCACGTAATCAATCGTAATTGTATAAAATAAAAAATAAATTAAAAAAAAAATCGCTGTCTGGTACAAATGGTTTAAGAATTATTTCATTGTTGGAACATGTATTTATTTTTGTACCTGTTTAGATAAGTATTTGACCATTTTTTATGATGAATAAATACACATTGTTGATATACCGGGTTTTAAACAAAAAATTATGTAGAGAATATTGTGTCACGGGTATTAAACTACGCAGTTGCACTCGCCCTACAATTCCATATTTATTCCAATTTCTAGTAAAATGACTTACATGTGACCTTTGACGCAGTATCACTTATCGCGCGTTATCTGCGGTCAAATAGTGGCACTGAATTCTCCGATTAACATATTCCAGGCGGAAATATCTCTATCGCAGTGAATGAAAGATTAGAATATATTGTACTAATGATCCCGTGTACAGAGGAAAAAGAAACCGACCATCTAACCACAGGAAATTCCAGTGCGAAGTGGTGAATTAGGATAAGTGCATTATGTTGGAGTCCATTTTTTCGCCAATATCTCGGAATAGAGGGCAGCTGACGATATTTTCATAAATACCTTTTTCATAGCTCTCATCTTTTTCTATAAAAAATGTTAACACAGAAAATTGCCGATTTCCCCTCGATTCGGAGATATTGGCAGAAAATGGACGTCGAAAAAATGGACTTGTCCTACAGTTCACATCGCTGCAGAATTTGGAAAGTAATGGATTTTCCTGCATTAGATTCGCAACGAGCATGACCTTATTTCCAATAATTTGTTTCAACAGGGGAAAAGGATTCTTTTCTCTCTGTGCAATTTTCCGTGCGAAGGGATAGTTGAAGTAATGAGGAGAATGTTATGGAGGAAGTAGAGGCTGAAGGGGTCAAAGGAATGAAATTTTCATCCACGGCCCTCTTCAGTCTCACCAACGGTTTGAGAGTGGTTTTGAATTTTGATGCACTTGTAAATGAGGAATATTCGATATGCTATTCAAGCCCCAGCTGCACGCCGACCTGGTGGAGGTCGTCGGCCAGTTGCTATACCAAAACCAGTTGTACCCACACCACCACCTAGATCCTCATCGTTGGGCTTTGGTGGTCGCTATCCCAGTTCTGGAAACTCGATAGCCTCGAATGGAGGCAATCGTGACTCAATTTGGTCTGATGGAGGTGATGGACGCAACGGTGGAAACACCAGACGCGGACAAAGACCCGGTGGCAACAACAGTGGAAACAACTACAATACTCATGTCTTCAGTGACGCACGCGGCAACCGTGTCTGGACATTCTCAGGATGATGGAGCCATTCCTCTTTTGACAAGCATCTGCTGATTAACTGATTAGTACTTATACATAAATAACTTTCTTACAGAATATATTAACGCGAGATGATCTAATCACTTATTCCTTGTACGATTGTCTCGTTTTATCGGTGCCATTGACGATGTCAGGTGTATATTAGTGCCTTCACTTTATATTTTTTATGTACCCCAGTCCTCATATCGATTAAGAATATATGAATCTCAAGTTGATGGGTTACTTCACTTGCATGACAGCTTAAATAACTTATTCACGAGTATTAACGATCTCATGATTGATTAACCACTTTCACGTTAGTCCGTTTTGCCAACAAGATTTATCACAATCCGGGGCAATCCTGGAGTTACGACGCTGGGGGATTGCATTGGGAATTTCATGCAGCATCATCATGTGAGGATGAGACACTCGGAGATTGTGGAATCGGCATGGCCCCGCATGGTTGTTTTACGGTTAACAATGTTCAGGGTAGTTTTGGACGTATTTGCAGAGGACGAGGGAGTGCACAGGGATATGAGTCGTCGACAGAGTTCCTCCGGGTATCCTAGTGCAAATCGAGAGACGCCGGTTGCGTCAGCGCCGTTGGAGTCTTCGGGCTCTGAGAAGTCTGGATCTGGGGGGTATCCTGCAGGGTCTGGGTATCCAGCGAGTTCGGGATATCCAGCGAGTTCGGGATATCCAGCGAGTTCAGGGTATCCAGCGAGTTCGGGGTATCCAGCGAGTTCGGGATATCCAGCGAGTTCAGGATATCCAGCCAGTTCAGGATATCCAGCGAGTTCGGGATATCCAGCGAGTTCCGGAAATCCAGCGAGTTCCGGGTATCCATCAGGTCGATCAGACACCTCGAGCTATCCGAGAGGATCAGGTTATCCGTCAGGGAACTCGAGGTACCCAACAGGATCAGGTTCTCCGGACACTGTCCAACGTACCAGTTCTACAAATTTAAACGCAGGGTACCCCAGCTATCCAGGGCAGTACTCTCAAGGCGGTTACGGGCAAGGGTATCCCCAGGGTGGATCTGGACAGGCTTATCCTCAGGGAGGCTATGGTCAAGGGTATCCCCAGTCCGGCTATGGGCAGGGCTATCCAGGTGGCTATCAGGGTGGCTATCAGGGTGGCTATCAAGGTGGTTATCAAGGTGGTTATCAAAGTCAATACCCCCAGGCCGGACCTGGCTATCCTCAGAATGCCCAGAAGCCCAGCCTTGGGGATCAGCTCACAACTTTCGCCAAGAACCTCGCTCAACGCGTCCTCACGCAGACCATCCAGGACAAATTAACTGGTAAATCCTAGGTGGAGATCATGAAGTCAAGGATCAGAAAAGAGAAATTATCAGGAGATTAAGCTAGATGATAATTAGAAGAGAACTTTACTATTAATAAAGAATTATTTCTTCAGTTTTTTCTCTGTTGTCCACTCATTTATCTGGAACCCAACAGTTTTTTTTTTCCTGCAGGAAGAACGCATTCAGACGATAATTATTATCAATCGGGGACAGAACGAAGTAAGTCAGAGCTGAGACCGGTAATTATCTTAATGACTCCCATGGTGTTTTAAAAACTGGGGCAATACTTTTTTATGTGGATAAAACTGTTTCCGTTAAAAATGCAAAAAGTGGATATAAAAACATAAAAACTCATCAATGTCAATTTATATCTCAGGATATATCGCGCATGGCAAGACATAATTAATATATTTATTGTTAATCAGAATGATTGCTATCAATTTTCTGCAGTGACAGAATATCAGTTGCAACCACTTGTTCTCTTCGACTGATAAATAACAAACGGACAGTGATAACGGCTGATATTTTGAGGACTGGCTTTACCAACAGCCGGAGAATAACCAGCGAACGATGAAAATCTTCTCCTGGTCTCTTCATTCGGGTGAATGAGGCGCGCGCACAACCCCTAGGTGCACATCAACCCTTAGGTCCGCGTGGTCCATTGCCCTTGTAAACGCCGGTGTCGAGACTCGGTTCAAAACGCCGCGGCAGTCGCGAGGTGAGCGTCGACCATCGACATCCAACTAATTTCCGAATTAATTCCCAAGTATTTTGGAATTTAAAGACAAGTGTTGTGATGTGACGACTTCATGTTCTCATTATTCGCTGATTGTTTGGGGTTGGTATTTTCGTTCGATCTAATTAGACATGACGGGGAGAATTTAATCGAGTGATTACCAATACGTGACTGAAGTGGTAATATTCTCATTTCCAATGACACATGTCGCGACGTGCGATATAATTGATCGATCGTATTACGGAATTATTCCGAGGGTGAGAACTGGCGTCTTTCAAAATTTTCGTTCTATTTGCTTCGTTTTATGGATTATCATTCCCTCAAAAAATCAGGAATGTGGAGTTTTGAAAAACCAATGGAATACGCGGAATTGCAGATTCAGTCTAATATATCGGGCGATAGATCTAGGTCTTCTGAAGTGCAAATGTGAGAATTGAAATGTAATATCGGGTGGATGTATTCTAGGCGAGTCCCGCTCTAACTCTTCCTCGATATTGCTCGTCCTCGAAATCACCATAAATATCTTCATCCGAGAATCGTACGACACCAGCAATTTGTATGATGGATTTTTTTACACCGTATGTTTCTGGCTTTATGAAATTCCATTCTCCGTTTATCCGCGTCGGAATTATTTATTTTTATAACTATTATTTTTTCACGGTCCAGGGGAATTCTCGAGAATTTTGTCCTTGAAAACTCGGTTTACCCATGGAGATTGGAAAATTGCCCTTTTGGACACGAGAAATTGCTTTTCAATTTTTGATTCATCTTTCCCCTGAAATCAAATTTCAAAATTCAACAACTTTTTTTGTTAAATGAGATTTCCACTGGATTTCTACTGGAATTCCAAAGACTTTCGTAATTGAAAATAATTTTAAAAAATTTAAAAAAAAAATTCAAAGAAATTATTTCCGTGGAAATTTTCAAAAAAATTCTCACATTTCGTTCTCTAAAAAAAAATTAGAATTTTTCTGAATTTCCCAGAGAACTTGAATTTTCATAAATTTTTTAAAAAATCAACATGATTTTTTGTTTCGAACACCTGTTTCGATTTGATTATTCTTCATCCTCAATTGACGATGCTGGATATCCGGTATTAATTGCTCCGGAATGAACCAGCGGATTTAAAAAATTTCGCTATTCACTGGTGAACAGTTGACCCTTGAATAGCCTCACGGTAGATTAAACGGCAAGGGAAAAAACTTTCATTCATCAACAACACCGCATGCGATTGATTTATGACGACAAGAATACGCGATTGCCCTATTTTTCCGTTCATTGAAGTCATCGGATGATTGGCAGGGATTGTTTCCGCCTGACGAAATAATACCGCAGTGATCAATAAAATGATCATCTAATTAAGATAATTATTCAATTCTGCGCATCATTAAAACATTAAAAAATCAATCGCACGCATGCGAGCATTTCCCTTTTCAATCTCTAAAAATAAAAAATCCCAGAACATAACATTAACAACCATGAATTTCAAAGCTCAACCGGATTTATAAAAAAAAATCAACAGCTTCTCTTAGAATTCCCCAAAATTCTCTCCGAACATTTGCTCCGCTTACTTTTATCGCAATTACCTTAAATTTAGTACATCAATTACCGAGCTTTCGCGTTTTTCCCCTGAACTCAAGAGAAATATATCAGAGTAAGTGAAGAAGTCGTTTATTCGGCAATCTCGCGCTCATTAATTTTAATTAACACGAAATCCCAGAATCAACTGACTTTTCCGGGGAATAAATCTTTTTGTCCGTGGAATAATTTCCGTAAAGCGAGAGGAAGAAACAATTGCGATGACATGATCACCCTCATCCCCTGGCGGGAGAGAATCATGAGATTTCGTCACGCGTGAGGTACACCATGGATAATTACTGGACGTTAATGAAAATCTAGTGCTTGTCAAAAGCCACGGTAAGATGAACGCGAGTGCATGGAACTTCAGCGAGCATTTGGATCTGCTCGAGCAGAACTTGACGAATTGTTCGTTGGATGGTGGTTGTTATGATCGTGATTTGGTGAGTAAAGTGGTGAAAGTGGTGGTACCATTGTTCTTCGGACCCATCGGAATCCTCGGTCTTGTGGGTAATTCACTAGTGGTCATCGTTATCGCTCTCAATCCAGCAATGCGATCCACCACCAATCTACTAATTATCAATCTCGCTATTGCGGATTTGCTGTTTGTTGTATTCTGCATACCATTCACCGCCGCTGATTTTGTACTGCCACACTGGCCCTTCGGTGATTTGTGGTGCCGAATTGTTCAGTACTTGATCATTGTTACTGCCTGCGCCAGTGTTTACACTCTGGTACTCATGAGCTTGGACAGGTGAGTTGACATCGTTAAATTTTTCTGCAATTCGTTACTCAAATTTTTACAGATCACTGATACTACTGATAAAACAGCACAAAAGCCCAGTACCTAAACCCAGTTCTAATTTCTTATCAAGTAATTATCGCCGCTCTGTCCTTGACTCCTCAATCCCCCATCAGTACACAATGACTCGATTATTCTGCACTTGGCACGAAAAGATAGCCATCACCACTGGCATCACTGGCATTGACAATCAAAACCACAAACTGTTGACACGCCCCAGAAAGATCACGAAAATTGGTTCAATTCTGATATTAGTTGATTAATTTAACAGTTCATCAGACTGATTGACCATCGAATCGAGACCGAATATCCCTCCAGCTGTTTTGAATTCCTTTAAAAAAAAAAATGGCAATTCCTTTCTATTCAACAGGTACTTGGCTGTTGTGCATCCAGTGGCTTCGATGACAGTGAGAACCGAGCACCACGCATTCCTCGCCATCTGCATCGTCTGGTTCGTCATCCTGACGACGTCAATTCCAGTTCTCCTGATCCACGGACAGGTGGGATCCATCGTAATTATGATTGAACATCCGAGGCAATTGGTGGCGATCGGTGACTCATTAACTCGGCAGATTTACATTCAGTTGCAGGGAGACGAGGATCCGGAGAAATACATCTGTCGAATTCTGCCGGACGTCAACTGGCCTCTCTTCCAGATGACCTTTTTCCTCCTCAGCTACGTTATACCTCTGACACTGACCTGTGGACTCTACGTGTTCATGCTGATTCGGTTGTGGCGTGGGGTGCGTGCCAGTGCTGAGAGCCGAAGGGGTCGGAAAAAAGTCACCAGACTCGTCATCATCGTGGTCGCTGTTTTCGCCATTTGCTGGTTTCCCATACAAGTACGTGCCACTGAAACTTGAAAATTCATGGAAACGTTTGCCCTTTTTTTTTATTCACTTTAATTACGCGAAAACTCAAAAGAGAACGATTTTCCCTGAAAGAAAAAATGGGTTTCCCTCAATGAAATTACTCGAGATTTTTCTCTCATTCGTTTATTCATTTTACATTAATTGTTCATTTTTTTACTCCATAAAATCGCTACCAACTCGGAGTCTATCTGTTTATAGCGATTGAATCGTTCCATCATTTTATTGATTGAAAAATTTTGATGCAAGAACGATTCAATTAGTGAACTCAATTAACTCCGGTGCATTCAATGCCTATTGGTTTAACTCAATTATCATCGGATGCAATTATGACGTTATTATAAAGGTAATTATGAATGCAATTATGTATGCAATTAACGGGCAAGTTCTGTTAATGTTGCAGCTCATTCTGGTGGTTAAATCACTGGGATCGTATCCTCTGACAACAACATCCATTATGATTCAGATAGCCAGTCATGTTATGGCGTACATGAATAGCTGCGTCAATCCAATTTTGTACGCTTTTTTGAGTGATAATTTTCGAAAGGCCTTTCGCAAAATTATTTATTGCAGACCAAGGTATCAGGTATCAGGTACCAAAGGAACTGGACCCCTCACCAAGACAACCAGAGCTGCCAGCAGTGGTGACATAATTTAGGTGAGAATTTTCATTCTAGTCTTCTCTCTTTCCATTTTTCATTTTCTATTTTCTCATTTTCTTAATTTCATTTTATTCATATTAAATCACACTTCTATGAATTTTTATTCTCTACTTTTACGTAGCAGTGTCATATTATTGTTATTATTGTTGCAGTATTTTTTGTACTGTGTCAAAGGTATGCATGACGTGGTAATATTTTTATAAACAAGCAGAGGAGAGACTGGTAATTGAAACCGTTTCAGTCATTTTTTAGTCGAGGATTTTTGTACAAAGGATTTCGCTGGAAGAATTCAGTTGGCGATATTGTGATCACTTTGATGCCAATATTTTAGATTTTATTCGCGAGCTAGTGAGAATTGTTAAAATATCTTTTCAACTCTATCAACGGGAGAATCGAGAGAATGGAGAATTAAAGAAATGGAGAATGGCATCGGCTTGATTTTTACCTCTGCCCCAGTATTCCAAGGGCCGAGCTGCATGATTTCTCGGAGGTATATTAAAATTGTTAAATTAGTATTCGCGTTTTACCGGGGAAATTAAATTCTCCGGGAACTGATGATGAATACTCGAGAAATATTAATTAGATCTCATTGTTTTCACGGACCTGTACCAGAGGACTGCCTGGGGGAGGTAAACGCTAAAAAATTTATCTTATAGAAAATTGAATTATTTATTCCATTCAAACAAATGGTAATTTTTATTGCAAAGTTGGATTATAGTTTATTTTAAATTCCTCTGGTTTGAATTTTTCGTGTGCCATTGGGAATAAATGTTCTCTCAATTACGTGTAATTCTCTGGAAAATGGATTTATATTGAAAGTGTATTTTTCAAATTCCGTGAGACGTCGAATATCATGGGTTGAGCACTTCTCCATTTCCTATTAAGACGTCAGACGATAGAATTTACGACGGTGATCTCGCTTGAGACTGATGATAAAGCAGCCGATGCATCCTGAAGTTTTTTCATTATATGAGCATATCGTAAACTCAAACTCCTAGTCGAATATTCCAGTTGCTCATGAAACTCCACTTTCTCCACGCACACCAGAAAATATTTGTTTTGTCCAACTTTTTCCCCAGAGTCCGCTTCTAAATTCCGCTAAATTAAATATAACTTAATTCGATGTATTTTTTATAAAAAGCTAAATACCTCTGTTGTATGTAAGTGTAACCCTCTGCACTGTGCCAGTCGATAAAAATGGAGGAATAAAATGGATATAAAAAACCAAGAACACATTGCTCTAAAGGTATCACGCACCACTCGTATGATCGTTTCAGTGGTAATTCCCTGAGTGCGTTAAAGTTATGGTTAAAGTCTTCTCCGCGTGGATTCGGGTAATGGAAAGAAATATTGCACTGAAAATAATGACATAATGGAGAAAATGTGTCTTAACAAGTTCAAACCTGGGATGAAAAATCACAAAAGGTTTATATCCAACTGTTAACGGGTGACAATTCGCTAGAAAAATTGATATATAAATATTTATTGCAACAGAAAATTTCCTCTTGACAAAAATTTTCCTATGAATTAATATAATTGAGAAAGGGAAGAGCCCGAATTTCCGGGAACATGCCCCGATCGTTGACCCGTAAAATTTCCTCTTTGCCGTTCGCCACTGAATTTATCCACGAAATAGTTGAATTCAGTGAAAACTTGGTAAATACACGAAACCTAGAGGATCGATGGATCCAGGCCGTTCAGGTGAGCATTAGCAAAGGCAGAATGCCGTCATGTGGTGCAGCTCATGCGAGACAAATTGGTCCACCTGACCTAGTCGAATAAAACGTCAAAACAAGGAGCATTAAACAGTTATCCAAAGCTGTGTGCGTCGTAAAGCCGAATTATCGTAGTTTCATCCCTTAGCTTCAGTAACACTCATATTTCTCTGAGCTTTGCATATATCCGGGATGACCACAGAGGCTATGTAATCCCTCGGAGGCCCGAGTTTTTCCCTCCATGTGAACACTGTTATATACTATCCACGACTCGTTAACTTTTTAACCCAACGGAAATGAGAGAAATTTTCATCAACTCCAGAACACCTACACCTAGTGTCAGTAATGGCTAGTCAAACGTCGGGAGTCTCAAGGCGAATCTAAAAAAAACACGGGATTACCTTCAGGATTTGCTCTCATCGCTCTTACTCAAGTCTTTTTTGACTCTTCGCTGTCGATTCTGTACTCAGTGCCTCGGAGAAATAATTGACTCCGAGAATTTACATGATACAGGAAAAGAGTCCCTCAATCTCAAAAACCTTTCAAAATTTTTCAGAATTTATGGGAATGAAAAATTCCCTCACCGGAATTGTAATTTGAGACTTCTAGAGAGAATTCCTGGGGAATTTCACAGTGACGATGTGAGGAAGAATTATTTACGAGATGTAATGTGAAAAGTTGCAAATTCATGAGAGATATTTTTTGATAGCTTTTGTGTTGGGTAAATCTTCTTTATCAAAGGATTTTTTTTTCCGCGAGTTTTGATCTCGGGTTTGGGGACTCGATAAATATGCCCTGGAGAGAAGTACCTTGTGGGTTCGAATCGGGGAAATATACGATGCACGTGTTCCCAGAGAAACGGTGGAGAAGGTATAGATTGCCAGTGTAGTACATCCTTGATACCGAGCTCTAACATTTCTGGGGAATTTTTCCTTTTGCTGATACGAGTCGAGGGGAAATGGTATTCAACTGCTGGGTAAATCGCGCTGGATCAATATGGTATCGCGATGATTTCCCGGCGAGACTATTCACTGTATTTGATGAAGAGCGGCTTTTTATAAATGGTGTTTTATCACTCGGAAATGGGAAATCATGAGAAAATTCTAAATTCGCCCTTCAGGCGAAAATTTCCACACAATCCACTGCTCAAATTCGGGGAATTGTCCAGAACTATCCCAATTATTGAATGATACAATCAGAACAATCCAATAAAAACTCAATAATTATTAATTTATGAATTTCTTCAATTTTCCGATTTTCATTCTGAATGAAATGTGATAATTTTAAAAAATCATAAGTAAACCACGTAGAATGATTTTTTTCGGTTTTCTGGGACGGAAAACTTGGATTTAAAAAATGAAATGAAAAACTGAGGGACTCCCCGGGGTGAAAGTTGGAAAAGTGGAGAAAAAGCACGAGAAAGCACTCGGTCATTGGATTTTGTTGGAAGAGTTGATTGCTCGGCAGGATGTGCCATCGCTTATTGCGATTGTCGAGATGCTATCATTTCGACAGTAGTCACGTCGTCATTGCATTTCATACATCAGATCGACTGCTGGTCCGTCCGTAGAAACCCATTACTTAAATATACCATGACCGAAATACACTCTTACCTAGCGGAAATGGAGAATCGATTGGACGTCTTCTCGATGGTTAAACCCATTTAACGTGGAGGTACTCACGAGCGTTCACTTCTTCAATGTTGAATGCCATGAATAAGTGGTAGAGATACTCAAATTAATGAAATAGCAGGAGTCCATATGGTTTCATTAGTCCTGGAATTGATTACTGAGGTCTTGATTAGGTACCAGACAACTGGTCAACAGCTCCAGGAGTTGGCAAGCATTTCAAGTCCACTGATTCACCTCAAAGTGAAATTGCACTCCATTGTCCAATATCTTGGAGATCTTCCGGTGCATCGGGTATCGGTGTGGAATTAATTCTGGATTGTGGAGGGAACTGGTCCTTTGTTGGTTTACAACAATAGGAAGTCCATGATGAATTACTGGGGATAGGAAAAAAATTCTGACGAAGAAATCCTATCAGTTACTTCATCCGTCGTTCATTCCTGATAATTATTAATTGAAGAATTGATTTTCAGGAGTGAAATCGTGGCACCAGTCGGAGCCTGTCGGATGCTTTTGACTGATCTCCAGAGACTCCAGACTCCAGTCTGATTGGTGATGACAAGGTACAAGGTGTTATCCTAGTCACGTAATGATGCTTTTGTATCTCGAGTTATTGCGTTATCAACGTTTCGCTCAATACCAAAGATTACTCTAGGCTATGGGAAAGTTATTGTTCAATTCGGTGAGTAATGAGTTATGGATCTGAGTACTTTGTGTGATTTTGTGGTGCTTCTCTTTTCTGGGTGAATAATAAATTGTGAATAACGGTTGCGTCGTTTAGGGTTAATGCACCAGGTGGTGATATAAATTATATGAAGTGTTAATGATTGCTGTTAGACTTTATGGGAGATAGAGTAATCCTAATGGGTATCAATGATTTGTAAAATTTTCAGCACAAAATCAAGTGAATAGGGTACCTCTATGTGTATACGGATCTCCAGATAAATGAGATTTTCCAGAAGTTCAATTGTACAACGAGAAAAAAGAATTCTTCAACTGAAAAATCCCCTTTTTTGCATTATTATTATTTTTTGCATTGTTTATTTATTCAATTTAAAATAACATATCGTCAGGTTTACTGAGAGTTTTCATTTTCAATCGATTAATCTTTTTTATCTTCACATTTTTTGTTCTACATCTTCAGGATGAATCTGAAGTGGAAATTTTTTTCGGGAGTTGATTGCAAATTTTGAATTGTGAATTTGAATTTTTAATTGGCATTTATCCCTTGAGTCAAGGATTCTTCTCTCTCTCTTTCTCTCTCGGGTTGTGGGAGAATCCCATAAAATATGGAGATAAATTCAAAATATGAGTGACGTATTGAATCAGCGGATGATGGTGCATGAGCCCCTGCCTCATCCGCTCGATTCTCCACTGATAAATTATTACGATGTTTTTCTTTCAAACGAGAAATCAATACACTCACGTAGAGATAAATATTTTTATCGCATGACTGAGTGAATGAGGCTGACACTGTGGAATAAATGTTGAGTGTACATACAACTATATTTTATCATTAAATCGATGTACATGAGTGTAAATTAATAAATGTCGGGGGAGTAGCTTGTAAAATAACTGTACTCTAATTGTATATTAAATTCAATAATTCTGTGCAAAGTGTTGAATTTTATTAACAAAATAACAAATTCAATGAATTTTTTTGTATTTTCCACTGCTCAAATCGCTAATTGTAAAAATTATCTGAATAAATTCTATATTATTATTGAAAATTATAAAATAATTAACATAATTCGATGTTGAAATAATAAATTATCAACAATTAATGATTAATTTTTTAGTGTTAATTATTGGGATGAGATTTATTTTTGATGGGGAATTTTTAATTACAAAAATATGGGGCTGTTGAAGTAGATGACAGGGGCATGCGTGGGTGGTGATCTTGAGTTGTCGATTTCATCTGCCTCGGTTCATAAATCCCAGGATTCAGGGGTTCTCCGACACGCTGAAAATGCAGTGAGCAAGAAACGTTTATGATCGACGTAAAATTAAATGGAATTGTCGCTTTCACGACTGCTAAGGCAGCGTAAATATTGATGCGACTCACCCGTGAATTTTTCAACACGAAAAATCCACCCAACGACGATGAATACATTCTCGGTAAGTTTACTGTTATCAGTGACTTCCTTTTTATGCAACGCGCTACACGATATGTCCATTTACATCGTAACGAGGGAAAATATTAGATAATTGAATGGTTTTTATGGGCACGATGGCAGCAGTGATTGTTGGGGTTAATGGATCCAGGAATATGTCGTTACACCATAATTTCCTACGAGGATCACGAGAAAATTCATGTTTTCGGATTGCCCCAGCCCCTGCACAACATTTACGCAAAATTACGGGGGAAAATGTAAGAATTGAAATCATTTCCATGCTAATTCTCGCATTTGCTGTGGAAAATTAACCATTCGCAATGAGAACAATAATTACTTCAGCCCGGGAAATTGTAAATGTGAATTTCCGGGGAGTCTGCAAATTTTCGGAGCAGGGGTTTAATTAATTTTTATTTTCATAGAATTCCGCGGCAATCGAGAGCCGAATTTCCTGGAAAACTGCGAGCTTCAGAGATTTTTCTCTCATAAAAAATAAGCGAAACTTTTGTTCGTTTATTTCTGCGAGTCGGTTTTCCGAGGATCGCAAAGGGTTTCTGTAATTGGAAAACCCACGGCCTTTTTGATGTACTTTACCTTCGCATTACCTCCGACTAAGTGAGTTTTCATGTTACCATGTACCCGAGCTATTTCGGTGAACAATAAAAGGCGTTATTGATCAGAAGTGTTGATACAGTTGAAATAACAGAACTCATTTCAATTATAACCTTGTAAAACACCGGTGTGCATTAATTCAGCGAATTGAATAAACAATTCGATATTCGGAGGAATTCATTCAATTAATTTCCTCCCCATCTCGAGGGATGAATAATAATATTCCATGTTGAGAATTGATCGCGCTCATCGAGGGACAACACCGAATTTGCCGATCAGTCGGGCCTATTTCAATAATTTCCAGTTTAAAATTAAAACAATTTGCCCCCCACCTGTAATTTTCATCGCGTTCCTCTCATCTGTCATGTCTCCTAAATCACGACTGAGAATCAAAACGATTTCCGCTTGACTCGGGTACGTAGTTATCAGCTCCAGGAATATCCGCCACTCGACGAGATATTCCTTCACTCCGATTTAGTACCCCAGGAGGGAATACATCGAGTATATTCCCGTGATTGCAGGTGAAGCAATTCCCCATCCGGTGCTTTTAAAAAAAACAATCGATGTAACTATTTATTTTCTTTGTTTATACCCATCGTTGGGTGTGCAGTGAAAAACATGGGTATTTTGCCTCTTTTCTCAAAAGCCCCAGTCAATCCTCTGTTGTCGTTCGATTTTCTTTAAATGGAGTTTCAGTTTAAATCCGTATGACGTAGTATTGAAAGGGACTAGCAATATTACCTCGGAAATCTCGTTTGCGATGGTTTCATTCTCCTCGATTCTGTGGGAATATTCCTAAGGAGATTATAGAGGGTGGATTTTTTTTTGGTTAGAGCACGAGCTCCCGCGAAAACAAAACCCCCGACGTATTCAATACATCTCGGAATTCTCTGTTATCTTTATTGATGAACGGTTTTTGAATATTCATTGGCTATTTCCCAAATTATTCATTAATTCCTCTTTTATCTCACAATTTACCTCGCCAAATGGTGATTAATTGAAAAAATAATATCCTCTCATCATTCATTAATTTATCAGCTAATCGCGATTGGGATAAATTCAATTAATATAATTTAGAATTTCATGTGCAATCGGGATGAAAAAATTTATTTAGAGTCTATTGATTTGGCTGATGTAATTATTTTTCTTGATGTAATTTATGGATGAGTTCTTGTAAATTGGAGTGGTTATCTCTGTGAAAGTCCTGGCAATTAGGGTATAACCTGCGATTGGAGATAGTGAATGGATTATACCGGATAGCTGGTTTTGATGGCAATTGTTCGTTGTTCCACCTGTCGCAAGCATACAGAGACGCAGACCTCAGTTGTAATGGTGATGCAGTGGGCAGTCATTATTGATCCTCTATTGAAATTCCCGTGGCCAACCGACATAATCAGATTCAGTGATACTCGTGGAAATTTCGCAACGATTTGCGATATCCAGTGGCACTCGCGAATCCTCATTAATGAGTCCCACCAAACCGCATAAAGACCTCTCAATTCAGTAGTCGAAAGGTCGACGAGTGTCTCTATCAAGTTTTCGATTGATATCTCGGAATCTAAAAGAGATAGCGTCATTTTCATCATGACCTATTTTGCAAAGTACAGGAAGATCTGCAAAAAAGGTGATTATAAAAATTTCGCCATCTCTTTTAGATTCTGAGATATTCAGTGAAGCTGACTTTGCAAATGGATCACGTAAAAGATAAAGTCCATCAATCTGATAGGTAAGTTTGTGGGAAAATATCTCTGAATGTGAGAGAAATAGCGTAATTTTTCATAGAATCTTTTTTGTAGCGTAAAACGAGAGCTATAGAAAAGGTCATAATAAAAATTTTGTTTTCTCCGTTTGATCCAAAGATATTTCATGAAAACTCGTCTATTAGCGAAATTATTAGCCCGAAGGGCTCCCGAGGCTGTTTTTTATAAGATTTTTTAGTGTCACGGGTGAATCCTGTAATGTGAACATTCAAAAATTTACTGAGGGACTCACCACTCAGAGGGGACTATTAAACCGGAAGAGAAAGAGCGTTGGACTGCTTTTAAGGACTACAGGGGTTTAGTTCTTCCGAGTTTCTCCATTTGAGGCGTAACTTCAACTTAATAAAACGGACTTCATCCCTTCATTCTCTTCACAATCCCTTTTTTTTCCAGTCTTTCAGCCGAAAAGTTATGGCTGGGGGGCAATAACAACCCTTCGATCGAGTTTTTCAATCTCAGTGAGAACGATTTCAACCGTGAAGATCGCTGTGAAATGTAAATGATGAGACGCGAGGGTACGGGGGCCCCTGACATTTTTATTCTCTAGTGTGTCATATTTTCGGGATTTTACGGTATGATAAAAGCAACAAAGTAGTGGCAAGTGCGGGGAATAGAGCGATTCGAGAAATGCGCGATTTGTAAAGCGAATTGAGGAGCGTCACTCGCGAATTTTACGGCTATCTCTTGTCTGTTTTATCCTAGGAATTCCGGAGAACTCCAACTGGACCTGATAAAAAATTTCTTCGTCAAATTCTATGTGCAGAAGTTCGGAATGAATCGAGGAAAAAAGAAACGCAAATCGCACATTCAAACGTGCCTCTGGAAGAATCCGAGAGATCTGGGAAGGTGCCACGGGGGACTTTTGACACGTGTTGGGAATCAATCGATGATTTTGAGTGAAGGGCACCACGTTGAAACACCAGTGAACTGAATTTTCCGGGTGGAGAATTTTCCAATGGAATGAATCCCAATGGGATCGATCCAGCCCTCTCCAGATGCAGTGAAGATTAACGGATTGATCATCAATATTGACCAGAAAAAAGATTTTCCATGCGGTGGCTATTAAAATCGGATTTTATCCATAAATTCTGGGAATTTTCGCAAGTCAAGGATATTTCTAAAGAATATAATGAGTGCATTTAATGGAAATGCATTAGCATTTAGTTCACTGGGAGGAACCGAAAATTCAAGTCTTTCCTAGAAAAAATAAAATGCTGATTTTATGGACTTTCAGAAGCTCGAGCACTTGAAACCCACGGGGAAACCTCTCCACGAGATTAAATTGCGACGTTTTCAAGAATTCCCTGATTACTCTAGATAATTGGTATATTCGAAAACGAAGCGAACAAGTCTCCAATCCGCTTGTTGAAAATTCCTCAGTCCGAGGAATTATTCCCTGAAATAAAAATCCCCGTACAAAAGCCTCCCACAATAAAAATAAAAGATAATACCCAATTTTATTAACAATATTTTTTAACTGGTCAATAACTCCGGACAATAAATTCCTCGATTTTAATTTGTAGTTTAAACAAAATGTTGAGGATAAATGAAAATTATGGAAATAATTTTTTTCTGAATGGGAAATTGAGTTTTCATTAAGTTAATTTGGAAAAGGTCGAAAGCCCTCGAATTCCAACGAAGGTACACGTCATTGATTTGATTTACGCACAAAAAACAATTACCCGAGGGCGTGAGATTTTTTTCAATTATAACGAGGGCCTCGATAAGACTGAAATTGGCTCTGTCAACAGCTCGTAATGGAGTGCCTCCGTAATCGTGAACCTTTCCCTGTGATAAAATACCAATGATTAACGCAATTTCGAAAATGCGCGGTGATTGATCGGTGATTTGCTCAGACTCGGAAAGTTTCAAGTGTAACACGGGTTTTGGGGACGTGGGTATAATGAAATGGCCATTCCCTTGGAAATCTCACACCTATCATTCTCCATACCTTTTTTTTTTAATCAAAAAACGTGACCCACGGTAACTGCGATGAGATTACCGGTGGCACGATCGATTATCGCTTTTTTCACCCGAGATGTTATTTTTCATCGACACTCGTCATTTTTAATGCCCGAATCATTTTTTCCATCGAAACCTTTTGTCATAACGGACGTGCAATTTTAATTGCCACAACGCCATTTTTTTGGGGGAAATTCA